CTGTTTCACAACGCATGCATTCAAAAAGCTCCAGAGCCTCTTCAGCCATCTCTTGCGTAGCATACCCAGAAATCATTGTAGCCCAAGAAACTGGGTTCCTTTCAGGCATTCTATCAAACAACTTACGAGCTTCGTCAACAAAACGCGTTTTGCAATACATATTAAGAAGCGAACTCCCGACAAAAACATCATAAAAGCTTGCCGTTTTGATAGCGACCGTGTGCGCTTGCCGGCCACCAGAAATGTCAGGCAAATTGGAGGCCGCAGTAAAGACACCAGAGAAAGTGTGGGCGTTGGGGGAGGTATTCTCTGCAATCATACACCGAAAGAGTTCCATGACGAAGGAAGAGCCAGAGGGTCCCTGTTGAGAGTACCCATTGATGAGGCAATTCCACGAGACGACATCCTTGTCACGGATGTTGTCGAAAACAACCTTGGCCTTCGGAAGGTGACCACACTTGGCATAGAAATTGACGAGGCTATTTTCGAGGAAAATACAAGAAGGCGAAACGCTTTTGATGATGCGAGCATGCAAAGCTCGACCTTTATGGAGGTGTTTCAGCTGAGTGTACTGGAGGAGCTCCTTGAAGAACTCACTAGACGAAGGAGAAAGCCGCATCAACTTTCTTGCCACGAACTATTGGCATTCACATAGTGTATTTCTCCTTCCTGGTGCTGTGCATTTTATCTGGTCTGGTTAAATCTAAGCAGTTAAACAATCTTGTCGGAGATATTGTTGGAGCGAAATAATGGAGGGAATAAGTGAAAAGAGCAGGCTATCTGGAAAGCAAGAGATCGGCGACGGCCATGAGACCTGCTTGTTTCCCTTTGACGTAGAGATTGGGGGGAAAAAAACACGCACACACGCACGCACACAAATAGCGGGGGACAACCTAGGAATAACACCGAAGAGTAACAATGCTTGGCCTGCTGCTTTAAGTTTTGGGATAATTAATTTTCAGATCTGTATAGTTTTATTTCGCTTATAAGTCAGTCCTTACACTTTAACTTGCTATAACTCAGTTCTTATCATTTTAATTTAATTATAACTTAGCTCCTAAAATTTAACTCGTTACAACTCAACCTTCATAGTTTTACCCATTTGATAATTTAGTCTCTCTTTTTATTATATATATAATTTTATTTTGGCTATAGCATACATTTAATCGTTTAATTTTATGTAAGGTTTCAACGTAGTCTTTTAACTTTAAAAAGTATACTTTAGGTCTTTAACTTTAAAATTGTTAATTTTAAATGATGAATTTTGTAACAAAAGTGGTTGTTTTAAAAGTTAAACTTAATATTTTAGCATTTAGTAATGTTTTATCAACATTCAAGAGTTCACTATCGTTATTTTTTGTTAATAGTTTTAGGAAAGAGGACTAATAGTTTACTTTTTAAAGTTAAAGAATAAAAATAAAATACTGTGTAAAATTAAAGGACCAAAATTATATTTTAGTCTTTTATTTTTTTAGTACATGAGGATTAAATTATAAAATAGATAAAACCATGGGAATCAAGTTGCAGTAAATCAAAATTTAAGAATTGAGTTACAACTGGGTCAAAATCATAAATAGAGATTGAATTATGCTGAGCATGTCAAAATTATAAAGACAAAAAAAATTAATTTTTTTTTTTAACATCTTACGATGTCAGATTCACCTTATATGCTTATCTCACAGAGCAGCATGGTCATACCTTTTTTTTTTTTTTTTACCAGGTCCAAGTCCCATTTAAATCTTATTCACGCCAAATACGTGTATTGTTTCATATTATTTTAATTTGGGTTAATTAATCCGCAAGTTCTTATAGTTTCAACGAATTTTGAATTAGGTCCCTATAGTTTTTTTTCTTTTTATCAGGTCCTTATACTTTTACCTTTTTTTAATTAGGTCATTGTATTTATTTTTCTTTTAATTAAGTCCTTATAATTTCACTAAATTTTTAATCAGGTCCATGTAGTTTTAATTTTTATTTATTAATTAAATATAAGCTTAATTAAATAGATTAATACTGAAATATAAAATATTAATAATTAAATTAAATTAATAATTATGTAATAAAAAAGTAATAGAATTAATTAATTCAGGAAAATTTTTTAGAACAATTAATTTTTTTGCTGAAAAATTAAAATCATTATAATAATTCAATATCTTTAGAATATTATTGTTTATAAACTAATATTAAATAATATATACTATTTTATGTTTATATAATAGTACTATTAGAATTTATAAAATAAAGAATAAAAAATTCAGGGACTTAATTAAAAATAAAGTAAACTTCTAAGGACTTGATAAAAATAAATAAATACAAGGACCTAATTAAAAATAGGTGAAAGTATAAGGACCTGATAAAAAGAAAAAAAACTATAAGAAGCTGATTCAAAATTAGTTGAAACTATAAAGAACTGTGGATTAATTATTCCTTTTAATTTTTCAAGAACATCAATTGATATTATGAGACTGTTTCCCTCGATACACTATAAGTAACACAATAACCATATTATTGTCATGAAAGTCTTTAAGAATTAAATATTTTAATTTTATTTAATAGTTTAAACTTACTTGTTAACTTAATTATATGCAAAACAATACATAATTATCAAGTTTGTTCTGATCTCGACTTAATTAGTAAATATTGGATATCAAAGTCAACCAGATATTTTGCCCACTCTTTATGCCCTCCGTCACTAATGCCTCGTTTGGATAAAGCGGATAAAAATGAAGGAAAGAAAATGAAGAGAAGACGAAAGAAAAATTTGAGAGAAAATATTTTCACTCTTCATAATTCATATTACGATGTAAAAGATAAAATACAAATATGACTCGTTTTAAATAACAGCAATATTTATTTGAAAAAGATGCGGGCATCACATCTAGCTTTATCCTATCTAAAATTTAGGGAATGTGTTTCCACTCCTAAATATAAAACTTTAAAGAGGAAATAAATGGATGCATGTAGCTTAGTCAACCAGTGTTAATTGTCCAGCAAACAGTCGTCACACACATTGCATAACATGTTTGCTTCGCTCCGGCACAAGGCTAATTCATAACAATGACACTTTTAATTCACACCGGATGTTTCAATTAGTGAAAAAAGTACTTTCAAAAGCACTTTTCTATCAATAGGGACAAATTTTTCTACATATATACTTCGTACATTATAAAAACACTTTTAAAATCATGATCTTGTTTCTATCCAAATACTCTTTAAAAGGGGCAACTATCATGTTTTACAGAAGACTTGTAGTAGCGAATAGGGCTATAGGGCTACTGTGAGTGAAGAGATTGCACAATGTGTATTAGGAGTGTTTGCTAAATAGTTAATGCTATCTCATTTCCAGTCATGACAAATTTGCAATATTTTAAAACATTCATGCCTCTTTTTACAACTTTTTGTTGTTGACGTGTTTGTTAAATGGCCAATGTTGATTAGTTTAATAGTCATGATATTTTTACATCATTTTAGAATATTTGTGTATATTTCTGCACCTTATAAAATTTTATGATGTCAAGTGTGCATAGCATGATGTGTTATAGGTATATTTATGTTTTAATCCAAAAATCAAAATTTTCCCTCATGATCTTTTCCCCTGTAATGTTTATCCTATTTTTCACTTTAATGTGTGACTTGTTTTGTGTTATGGCGCCCACCTTGCATTTTCTAAAATGTCAATTAGTTTTTAAAACTAACAACTTTTGATTTGTACTTCTTCAGTGTCATCTCCAATTCCACGAAGAATTAACCAAGCTAGCAAAATCCCCAGTTCCATTTCTTAGGCTCAGATTTTGCGCTATCAAATGGATTATTTTTTGCGGTTCATAATATAAGTCATCTTAACTAATTTATTGGTATTAAAAAAAAATGGTAGTTAACTTATCTGTCATAAATTGAATTTTTTTCTAACTTTACACATATTAAACGAGATTGTGAAGGAGAGAGAAAAATATAAAGAGTTATATTTAAGTATTAATAATTACAAAAACAAAATTAATCAATAAGTACTCCTCCGGTCCTTATTATAAGACCCCATTTGACTTTTTATTTGGTCCTAATTATAAGACCCCAATCCATTTTGTCTCTTATATTTATGCATTTTTTTCCAAGATAATTCTTCTAATAATGATAGTTTTAGCCAATATACTTAATTAGCAAGGATATTTTAGGAATGACAACACTTATTTATCATAAATAACCAACTTAACTTACTTCCTTAATCTCCTCAAATAAGTCAATTGGGTCTTATAATTAGGACCGGAGGAGTATTAATTACTCTCCAAGGAACTTATATTTTGGATCAAACTATTCTTTTAGAAATGGCTTATATTATGGACAAGAAGGAGTATTGTATTTTCTTTTAATTCATAATACTATCTTTGACCACTAATATAAAAACTAATTGATTAATTTAAATAAATTAAGAAAATTATTTAAATTAGTTATTTGTGATAAATAGGTGTTGTCTTTCTTAAAATATCATTACTAATCATGTATTTGTTAGAACTATTATTTGATGAAATCTTTAATATTTACAACTATTATAAGGATTAGCTTGAGAAAAAATAAATAAATATAACAAATAGATTATTATATTATATTTAAGAATAAATTGAATATCAAACTAGTTTTTAATTTGGATTCCACTTTTACAGGTCAACAGAGTTTTTAGAAAACAAAAATTTGCCCTAGCAATATTTAGCTACTTTTAAAAATCATTCTGTACAATAAAAAATACGCAGAAAACTCCAGCCCACAAAAAAATTATGCCCCCCTTTTTGGCCATGAATTCTCGTTTATTTTTCATTTTCCTCGCTGATGATTATTTTGGTTTTTTTATAAAAAAAAAAAAGTAAGTTAAAAACAAAGGTATTAATGGAAGAATTTTCAATCCAGCGTTTGGGCCGCGGTTGATTTCCGTTTGTACTTTGCTTTGGAATGGTAAATCTGAAGAATAACAACAAAGCTGTTGCGCACTTGCCAAACCTCAAAACCCTCCTGCCTCCTCAAGGCGCTTCTCCCTTCATTGCTGTGTTTCATCTCACACTTTCTTGTTCCAACACATCTCTCTCTTCTCCCCAAGAACCCTTCTTCCATGGAAGATGACGACGAGTTCGGAGATTTATATACTGACGTCCTCCGACCTTTTGGTTCACCATCTTCCACCGTCCCTCAGTCTTTCTCTGCGCCCCCAACTTCCAGCCGCTCGATCGATCTCAATCTCCAGACCCATCAGGAAGAGATCCTCCCCGCAACTTCTTACTCTAATTCAGCTGTTCCCTACCAGCCGTCCGATCAAATCGTAGCTCCAAAACAGGAGAAGCTTGTCGAAGAATCTGCTGTTGCTGGTGCTTCCAATTCTACGACCGGTTTGATCGGGCGCGATGAGATTGATGGCCGTAGACCTGGGAAGGAAGGGGAATCAGCTGAGGGGGCTGGGGTTATTGAACGTGGAGGTGCAGAATTGGGTGATAGGGCTCTACAGGATGCAAACCGTGATAAGGAATCTGGCATTGGTGATGTGCGCGACGAAATTCCTGCGAAAGGTGACGATTTGACGGAGAAGGATGTAAAATTTGATATCGAGGACGATGGTGATGGAATTGAAGAGGTGGGTTCCGAGCCAATTATTCCTGGGTTATCAAGTGGTGCTGGCGGCTATGTCGATGGTGTAGTTGCTGCAGCAGGCGGCGAAGCTGTGGGAAGGTTTGATGAGAACGGCGACAGAGGCGAGGGCGATGATTGGGATAGTGACAGTGAGGATGATTTGCAGATAGTGTTAAATGACAACAATCATATGGACATGGACAGAGGTGGAATGGTGGGCGACGGCGATGACGACGATGAAGATAGCGAGCTGGTTATCGTGACAGATGGCGACCCAAGTCAGGCAGCGGAGGTGCAAGAGTGGGGCGAGAACTCAGCTCAACCCGCTGATGGTGAGAGGAAGGATATGGGCGACTCTGCCAAAGCAAGTGGGGGCGTGACAGTGGCGCCAAAAGTTGGTTATAGCAGTCATGGATATCATCCATTTCATTCGCAGTTCAAGGTCAGTGCCTCGTGTTGCTTGAAAGGCAACTACTTGTATTTGGGGCTTCTCGTTTCCCCCTCTTGTACTATAGAAAGAATTAGATTGCAACTATCTAGACTTCTATTGTCCAATGTGATATGTTGCTTCTTTTGTTATTGAAATAAAATTTTATGATTTAAACGTGGCCAACATTATGTTTCTTTGATACGCGTTTGTTGAGAAAAAAACTTGAAAAGCTGAATGTCTGGCAAAAAGCAGCTGATACAAAATCGATCTGGATGTAATAAAATTGTCGAAGGCAATGGGTTCAACTTTTTCAGGGCTTCTCAATAAGATGAGAATGCCTGATGCAAGCTTAAATGGCCATCTTTTACATGATGCAAAGATTCTCTGATGTTCCTTGTGATGCCAAATTAACTATTGAGGCTTACACACGTGGAAAGTTGACTATCATTCTCTTTACGGACGTGGAAAAGAATCCATATATCAATGTAAAACATAAAAAATGTAGGGAGTCACGTGGAGAAGAATCAATATATCAATGTAAAACATAAATGTAGGGAGCTACATCATTCACAACTAATGAACAGGGTGACTCCTCTTGGTTTACCCACTCTGGTTAAATGTCTACATCAGTTGCCTAGCTGAGACTTGGGTTTAAGGATCAGACAAACAGTGCAAAGTATTGATATTGTGTTGTACTATAGCCTGTTTATGATGTATGAATAGTGTGACTTCTTGCGCGTGTGCACACACACATCAAAGTTGCTTCCAAAGGGAGGGAATTTACTACTTAGCCATGATAACATGGTTATTTCTTGGGTGATTCTTCAATTGCATTTTGAATGCTTAAATGCTATAATTAGTTGAATTTGACCCCCTCTTCATTATTCACTTGCATCCGACATCTCTTGAGACCTGGAATTAACTGTTCTTGGATGGATGCATAAAGCTGCAACTATTCCCAAGGTTTGTTGTTTGCAGGTTACCCTACTAAATACTAAACCAAATAACATTCTTTGTTCTTAGGGATTATAGTCAACTTATGGTATTTTCGCTCTTTTCCATGGGGGTGTGACGCAATTTTACTGGCTTAATTTTCTTTCATGAGGGTGTCGTAATTTTTACTTTACGGGAATCAGGAACGATACCTATCTGATGTTTTCTATCTATCCTTACTTGTCAAAACTGGAAAGCTATATAAATTAAGCATGGGATTGCTTAAAATGCAGGATTGTGTTGAATTAATAAATTGTGACAGGCTCTAGGGTTGCTAAGGGAAGTTCTGTTTGGAGCCACTTGTAAATTTCACACCTACTTCATGTCCCACACGGTGAAAGAAGGATGAGAAAAAGAAGAATTAGAATACTCTTTTTTATCATTGATGTTACTATAATGAGTTATAATGCTTGGGAAAATACGGGCCTTTGAATGGATGATCTGATGTGCAAATGTTTCTCGTATCTTGTGCTTAACCAAATATTCCCTAGAGCTCATGTCCGTGATGTTTAAGGAAGCATTGCTACTTTTTATAGGCATATATCTTATTGGGTTATTGGTTACAACTTTGTCTTCATATTAGTGATTTTATCAGAGGATCATTGATTGGATGTTTTCATTTGTTCTATGGTGTTTTTCTTCCATGACGGGTTTGATCTCTTGAAGATAATACTATTCTTAATCATCAAATTACTTTAGTTCCTTTTCTTCCTTTTATGGAGTTTGTACCTTCTTGATGACCTCTTAGTATACCTGAGTGAAATGAAAAGGTTAATTTCCTGAAAAAGATCTATTCCCTCTCTAACTGGGCTCTCTGGAAGTGTTGGCCATCCACCTAAAGTAGTGGGACTTTGTAATTATTTAATTTCAATCATATTCTTTCAGAGGGGAAAAATTTAGTCATGCTTCTTTCCTCAGGCATTTTAATCATTCTGTCACCAAGTACCTTTTGAAAGTTATTTCCTCCGAGCTTTGTATATAATTCCTGATACTTGAATGCAGAACAATATCAAAATCATCTATTAATGTGTTTTCTATTGTAATGCAGTATGTCAGGCCTGGTGCAGCGCCAATACCTGGAGCATCTACTATTCCAGGAGTATCTGCTGGTCAGATCCGTCCACCTGCTAACGTGGTTCCTATGGCTGGTCGTGGGAGAGGGGACTGGAGACCTCCTGGAATAAAAGGCGCTGCTGCTTTACAAAAAGGTTTTCATGCGGGTCCTGGATTACCTGTTTGGGGCAACAGTGCAGGAGGGCGGGGCTTTGGTGGTGGACTGGAATTTACTCTTCCCTCCCACAAGTAAATTTTACTTTTCTTAGTATTGTTTTGTCTATACATGCATGAATGGACCATCTTTTATGCAATTTTGCCCAATGATTTTCCTACCTTAAAGGCATTTTTCAGGTGGTGTGGCACTGCAATCAATCAAATTTATATTGGAATCACTTAAGTGGTCATTGGAATCGCATCATTGTCTTTTTGCCTTGACTTTTAGTTTTTATGAACGTGTATGTTTGACTATTAAATCATTCTAACCATTGGCATAGAAGGCTGATATGGTGAGTTGGTGAGCTTTATGTTTGTGATGGAGAATAGGAAGACAGTATTTAGGGAGATGAAATTGTAGAAGACTTACTTTAGGAGTACGAAATTCTAGATTACTTGGAATATTTAGACTTTAGAGATGTTTTAGATTTATTTATTTTCTCATGCTTATTTGTTTATTATTTTTTCTTTTTATTTGTTTAATTTTCTTTCGATGGGCTTTGCTATTGATGGCCTTGTGGCATTGTGGGTTAAGATGATTTCAATTACATTGTCATTTTAATTGTCTCTTTCCTTCCTTCCTCTTTTTCCTCTATCTCCCCTTTCCATGTGCTGTTCTGCATTAGTTTACATTGGATTTGTCTGGTGGATCTTCACATCTTTCTTTGATTTTAATCACTGCTCTTCTCCTTCTTCTTCTTCCTCATTATTGCCTGTGCGCTTGCACTTTGATGGACTCATTTTCTGAGAAATATCTATTGTGTGAAGTCAGTATTCCTTGCATCTTTAAGTTCTTTTGTTGGGATTTTAAACCAAGGCTAAATCTCTTTTAATATGCATGATGCTTTAATATTTTGATCTCTGCATTTAATATTTCTACCATATTCTTTCTGTTTGAGTAAAACTAAATTTCAGTTATTCTTGATGAGTGCTTATCTAGCCCTGCCTGTAACTTTCAGGACCATATTTGATGTTGATATCGATAGTTTTGAGGAAAAACCTTGGAAATATCCTGGTGTTGACACATCAGACTTTTTCAACTTTGGTTTGAATGAGGAGACCTGGAAAGATTACTGCAAGCAGCTGGTAAAATATTTTATGTTCCCATTCTCCAAAAGTTTAGTGAGAAGAGCAGGCTGAAACCTTTTGCCTCCTTTTAACATTTGACTTTCTAGGAACAACTACGCCTGGAGTCTACAATGCAAAGCAAAATCCGTGTATATGAAAGTGGCCGAATGGAGCAGGTAAGTGGCCACACTGTGTGCTGCCCTTTTTTTCTTTAAATTTATTTTTTCAGAAACACCTAATTCAGTGATTCAATGCCATTGCAGGAGTATGACCCAGATTTACCTCCTGAATTAGCAGCAGCTGCTGGTATACATGATGTGGGGGTGGAAAGTACAAATTCTGTAAAATCAGATTTTGGGCATAGTGATGTTGGAAAAGGTTCTGGGCGTGTGAGGCCACCACTTGTATGTTTTCTTCTGACATTTATTTTGCTTTTGCATGGGTTTTATCTGAGAAAGAAATATACCTTTGTTGAAATTCTCTCACGTGACGGCCAGATATTTGCAACTTTTTGGGGCCTAATAATTTCCCCCTAGCCTGCATGTAGCTGATCAATATAGAATTAAATATTTTTGTTTCGATCTATCTCCCTCTAATGCCAAAATGAAGATTTATTTCCCTTTCATTTCCGATTTAGTCTCTGGATCTTTTATGTTAATTTATTTTCCCGCAGCCAACTGGGAGAGCTATACAGGTGGAAGGTGGCTATGGTGAACGGCTTCCTTCTATTGACACTCGACCCCCACGAATCCGTGATTCAGATGCAATCATTGAGGTAATTGATGGTTCTCCGTATGATGCAAGTGGATAATTATCTTTATGTTGCATATCTTCCATGTGCCCATCACTAAAAGTATTTGTGTGCACAGATTGTTTTGCAGGATTCTGCCGATGATGATTCCTCTGCAGGGAATGCCCTGCAAGATCAGTTTGAGGGAGGAGAGCCCCAGAGAACTGATTTTGAAGAGGATGATGTTGATGAGGCTCCAAATACGGAGCGTGAGTATGTTGATGGATTTCCACAAGATTATAATAGTAGAAACAGAGATCTGGTTGGAAAAAGAATGACAGGCACGAAGTCCCCACCTGCTGATGTGCCTGATGGAGGTGAAACTTTGCCTTCCTCTCAGGAAGAACCAGTCAACTACACTGGTACTAGAGGCCAAACCTCTAGACCCAGTGGCAGCAATTTTGTCTCCTCTGATGAGGAAAGGTATGAAGAAGTACTGAATGTTTGCCTACTGAATCTTGCACTGTCAATGCGTATGATTGCATTTTGAACCATATTGCAAAAGTTAATCCTAAGGCACAACACTGCAATTGGGTGAGAAAAAAAACCATGTTGGGAGATCCTCCACCCAATTGTGATCTGACCTGGCTTGAATATAGATTAGTTAATAGTATTGGATACTAGATGGTTTGCTACCCAAACCAAAAAAAAGAAAGCAATTAACTTGTTAGTTTGTGCTGAAAGTCTGCAGTGATTAAGAGATTTTCTTGATTGTTGAGGCAACATGCTCATTGACAAAAATAGGTTACATGGACATTTCTTAGTATGAAATTTTCATTTCATCAAAATTATGTTCAGTTTGTGCGTGGAAGAGTGTGAGCATGACCTAGAGCATGATGAAAAATATATCTAGGATCATAGAGTTTAAGAAGGAACGGGATAGACCCACATGTAGATGTAGGAGATTTTTTTCTTTGTGAAAGCAATGCCCTTTCAATTGTAAGATCATAAGATAGGTTCCCTAAACCTTTCTTTTGCTGAGACATCTTTGTTATTTTCCTTGCATGTTCTGGTATCTCTTGTTAAGGTTGATGTTCAAAACTAGCATTCTTCATCCACACATATTTACCATCTGAGTTTTTCTATTTACAGGCAGAGGCATATGCAAGGAAGGGCAAATTCTCGTATATCTCCTAGTCAAGAAATTAATGACAATAAAAAAGAAGATTCAGATGGAAGCATGGAAAGGAGAGACAATTCACACTTGTCATCTCCGATCACTAACAATGCAAGAGAGTCTAGTGTTGGGGATGAGGATGCTGATGTTGATGAGCCTGGGACAGCTGGTGAAAGTTCCAAAATGGAAAAGGAGGAAATGGATCCCAATGCAGTAGACACGAGAGCTACCTTTAAGAGCAGTGATGGGAAGAGACAGAAGTTAACACCTCAAGATGAGGAACCTCTACTTGATGAAGTTGATGATTGGGAGAACTCGAAAGCAGCAAGAAGTAGTGATAACAGCAAAGCAAGTTCAGTAAGGAGCAGGGGCTATCAGAAGCGGCTGGATGGTTATGAGGAGGAAGTGGTTCAGGACGCACAGTCATCACGTCTGGGTGCAAATAGAAGGCATTTTGATGAAAATGAACACGATCTCCATAGAAGAGAGAATGAAGGAAGGCAAGAACCTGAAAGAGATCGCCTATTGCCTAAAGGCCGAGAGGAATCATACCCTTATAAGGAGTGGCATCCTAACTCAGCTCATCAATTGCACATGAAGACTGATGGATTTGGTAGGCAAAAAGATAGGGACAGCTCTGACATTTCTTGGGCCCGTAGAGATGATGATCCCTATGGCAGAAGAGGCAGAAATGATGAACCAAGGAAGAGGGATAGGGTTAAAGTTCGGGAGAATGAGAGAAGTGACAGAGATGATAGCCTCTATTCAAGAAAACAGTTGGATAATGGTAGTTATAGGGTTCCCTATGATAAGGATATAGGGCTAAGAGACTCAGGATACTGGGAAAAAGATGATGGCTTGAAGAGTAGGTATGACACTATGGAAGATTACCATAGCAAGAGGAGGAAGGATGAGGAGTATCTTAGGAGGGAGCATATTGATAAAGAAGATATTTTGCATGGCTACAGGGAGAGTGCCAGCAGGCGTAGGAGAGAGAGAGATGTAGTGTTGGATCCACGGAAGAGAAATGATCCACAAAGAAGTAGAGACAACTTAGAAGATCATTATGCCTCCAGGCAGAAGGATGATGGATTACTACTGAAGGAGAGGTCTGATAGGCTGAGAGATAAGGAGGAGTGGCATAGGGCAAAACAGTCCCATGAAGAACATCCATCGAAGCATGAAAGAGAAGAGGGAAGGAGTTCTGTAAGAAGTGGACGGGGTGCTGAAGAAAAATCATGGGTTGGCCATGTTAGGGCTCATGATGAGCACAGAGCTTCTGCGAAAGAGTACCAATCTAGAGATGCAACACGACCTGGTGAACAAGTGAAAAGAAGGGATCGAATTCGGGATGAAAGTCCTCATCATAAGGGGCGTGAGGATTCTTATGCCCGCGGAAATCACTATGGTAGTGAGGAAAGGCGATCTAGGCAGGAAAGGTCAAGTAGTCGTGGTGATCGTGCTGCTAATGTTTCAGATAACCAAAGAGTTCATGAGAAAAGGCATAAAGAGGGCACAAGGAGAAGCAAAGAATCTGATGTCGGTGATCATAATAGTCTGTCCAAGAGGAATCAGGAAGATCAAAGTGGTCAGACCAACAAGAAGGTATATTGCTTATCTGTAAAAATGTGAATCTCTCTGGAACGTAAAGTTCTCTTTTTCTTGGATTTGCTGTGTCTTTATGCTCCATGCGGAAGATCCTGATGGTCTGACATTATTGAAAGTTAAAAATTTGATGCGTGGCTCTAAAATTTTAAAGGATGTGGCATGTTTTTTCCAAATTAAGTTTTCAGTTGAACTCCAAATGTTTATATGGCAAGGCAGGCATGATAAGGAAAAGCTAGTTTTGCATTTGCATGAATTATATTGGCCCTACTTCGTGACATGATTAGCATTATTTTACCAATTTTCATTGTCAGCTTTGAAGAGGGGACTTGCTTAAGCTGTCCTTTTTTCTTCTTTTTCTTTTTGCATTGGGTTGCATTAGGTGGGCTTGAACCCTTGATCCTTACCTGCGACCTACCTCACCCTTGCCACCTAAACTAACGCCAGGTGGCTAGCTGGTTGGTGTTTTCTGCGTCTTTTTATACTAGCATTTGAACTAGGACCTCAGCATTCCACGTTGAAGGGCTCACCACTAAGAACAAATATGCTAGTTAGCTGGCTGGTAAATGCGTCTGGGATCAGTAAATTCTAGCAAATGTCTATTATGCGTAATGCTTGGGATTTTTGTTCATCGTTATCATAAGCTCGGTTACTCTGCAAAGTAATTGGAACAAATGTTCTGATTTGCTTGAGTTTCTCAGGACTGGTCAGTTATAACTTCAGTCTCCTTTAAAATATCTTCTTCCCTTCATGATTCTGCAAATGGACCTGACACTGACTTCCGAAGTTGTTTATGGAACTTGTATTTCCCGACGCGTGAATATCTGAAATTATGGAGTAATGATGTCAAATAATCAGAATTTTGATATAGACTTGGCAAAACACATGGATGAATGAGTTACTATTTCTTATTTGACATGATTTATTGATTTTGATTACTCTTTGTATGGGACTTTGAAATTCTTCTTTTTACTGAATTTAGCTTGCTATTTTCTTCACCTCAAAGTGATTGTCAATTGCTTCTATGTTTGATTCATTTCTGCTGCTTGCAATCTCTTCTTGATTTTGGGATTCTATAATATCATCATCATCATCATTAGTGTTGCTATATATATTTTCCTGTTTGTGAAGAGCTCAAGAGTCTCCAATGAAGGAGGACGTACTGAGCAAGAAATGTCAGGGCATCATCTGTCAAGAAAACACCGTGAAGTCATTTCTTCAGATGATGAACAACAAGAATCTCGTAGAGGAAGATCTAAATTGGAACGCTGGACAAGTCATAAGGAAAGGGATTTCGGTGTGACTGGCAAGCCATCATCTTCCATGAAGTTCAAAGACATTGATAAAGATAACAATGGTGCTTCTTCTGGATCTGGCAAACCCTTGGGTGAATCTGCCAAAACGGTTGATGCTGTTGATAACCAACACAACGCATCTGCTGAAGGAAAGGATTACATGGATATGGACAGTAAAGATGCTGATCCGAAGGGATCAGGGGATCGGCACATTGATACAGTTGAGAAGTTGAAGAAACGCAGTGAGCGGTTCAAGCTTCCAATGCCGAGTGAGAAAGAGGCTCTGACTATAAAAAAGCTGGAGAGTGAACCATTGCCTTCTGCCAAAAGTGAAAATCTCGTGGATTCAGAAGTCAAACAAGAGCGACCAGCACGAAAAAGAAGATGGATCAGTAACTAGATGGAAAGAAGTGCGGAATCTCACCAAAAATGTACCGATGCAGTTGGAGATTTTCTGCTAGGCCTAGTTCTTGCAAGCCTAGAACCCCAGCAAGCCAGCCATGCAATATCTATATTGAAGATGGCATCTTTAGGGTTTCAGATGATTTGTACTTCAGTTATTATGTCATTTTTGTAACCGTGCTTCCAACATAGACATCATACTATATGTATATACAGGTGAAAACGTAAAATTGGAACTGGTCACTGTAGGTGGCACATTTTTCCGGTCTGGGCTGAGGATTATGTTGGGAATTTGACTAAGGGTCGGATACAATACATTCAGAAACCATTGACATCGCTGGTGAGGCATGAGCCTAAAACTGGCCATCTCTTGTGGCCTGGCAGGTCCGAGGACTCGAGAAAACACAGGAAGCATCCTGGTTGGCGGAGGACCCTCGTAAGATGTCAGAGACGACCTGTCTTTTGTTGTAGATTATAACCAAATTCTGATTACCCTTTTATTCTTTCCGATCATAACATTGTAGGATAGTGGCTGTTAAGGGATAGAGTAGAGAGCCTATATATAGTGAACCAAGGGAAGGGAATGTAACTGTTCTGGAATATGAACAGGTAGTGGAAGAAAGTAACAGCAAAATTATTGCCAAATGCCGATTATAAATCTTTCTTGCCGTATGGTTTAAGTTTAACAAGAATAAGCCTCCTTTTCGGGGCTGTCAGTAATGGCCTTAGTTGCATGAAAGCTTGATAGCTAAGTTGTGCATTCAATGCCATTTATGATTTTATAATTTTAAAAAATACAACTAATGTTACCTTTAGTGCTTTGAACATACTAGCAAAAAAAAAAAAAAATTCATTCTTTGCAACCTCAGCTTTTTAAAAAATAAAAAAAATAAATGGGTGTGCGATGGATGTCTCATCAGAAAATTGTATCTTGTACTCACCCAAAGAACGCATCCTTAATTTTAATTTTCACTATTGGTCTGTTCAATTTTCAGTCTTGTGCGAATAAATAATTGGAAGAAATTTGACAATCTTTCAAAATATGATGATCCTATTATAAAATTGTGGGCCCTCCTTTCTGTTTTTGTTTGGTCTTACAATGGAGATGGGTTGATCAAAAATCATTGTGGATAATTAATTTCGTTCTGGATATTTAAATTAGCTTTTCATAAATAATTTTACAAATTCCGAAATAAGTATGTAAGCAAAGTTCTGTATTTTTTCTAAGTTTTTTTTTTTTAAAATGTTCCGATACCCCGGTAGTGTCATGACTTGGGCCTCAGTTTCATGATAAGATAAAGTTTGAAAAGATTATTAAAGAAGAAGGCAGATCCAATGAGCAGTATGACAACTAGAAACATTAAATAATGTTATTTGATGACTTCAAAGCTTACAATGTTGTGAGCAGTATCAATTATTCCAAAAAAAAAAAATAGTGTGAACAGGATCCTCAAACGTTATGATCTATCCCTGTAGTCTTCTTCCTCTCTTTTGATGGGCACTTTTTAATTAGATTATTATATATACAAGATTTATATTTTTTTGACCATTGAGATCAGATCCCAACACAAAAAAAAAAGAGATTATATGCTTTTTTTAAAAAAAAAACAATATAGGGTGATATTACTTTTTAATAGGCTTAAAATTTAAAGAGTTCGTTTTTTTTTTGCTTTGGATGATTTATTTTTTAAAAAAAAATAGTTTTTTGTTGATATAAATACTTGTGTAAAATAGTTTTTAATGTAATATTTTAATAATGAACTTTTTTTAGCGGTAGTAAAAAAATTTGCGTTTGTACTTTGCACCGAGTGTCATTGAGTTGCTAGTTAAAAGGAAAACAAACGTGGACCAAGTCAATGTAAACATCAAATATACAGTTCTGGTAATAGCTGGTTCACATGATGTTTTGCTAGAAGCCAACAGATTGAAAATGAAAGCATATAAATTATTCAGATCAAATCTATACAGAAATTAAAACAATTAAGATGATCTGTAATTTAGACAAATCATATATTCCCTTATTAAAATTATCATACTTAATTAGTACGCATTTGTCCTCAAATTCATCAAGCACAAGTGCCCAAGATCCAATCAAAATATCAAATTTTTGTAGGTTCATAGTAGTACTACCATACTTAATTTACTGTTTTTAAGTTCAGTTACATAGTTAAAAACAACCTACATCCAGGGCAAAATGTGAGTTGATATTGATATACACGTATAACAGTGGTTTTTCTCTCATTTTTTATGTACTAATAAAAAATTTGATAAAGAATACACTCCTCCTTATATAAGAACTAAAAACTAATTTTGTAAGATTAAAAAAATTAATTAATAAATGAGTGTTGACTTTCTAAAATATTCTCTTTAATCATATGCATTGGAATTATCCCTTAATGGGAACCCACTTAAAATCAATAGGAATATTTTTAAGAAAATCATAAATTTAATAGATAAAATGGATTGAGATATTATATTTAAAATTAAATAATCTCTTACTAGAACTGCTGGGCCTAGATGGCAAAAAATGGCTGGTTCGTGTTGGCAAAATGCCAACCTGTTTAGGTGCAGGCTGCTTCAACCTGCAGTGTTTTAGGCTCGCTCCGCCAAGAGCTAGCCCCTTTTTTTTAAAAAAAAAAATTCATGCATTTATATGTTATATAACATAGTTGGAGGATTTTAACCCTCAAATTTTACCTGCACATTGTCTCATTCATATAATTGCATGTCTAAATAAACACTTTATATATATATATATATATGTAGTTATATAAAGAACATATTCTATCTTTTATTTTTCATCTATTTATTATTTTACTATACACACCTTTATAAGATTAAATAAAGATATGGTACTTATATATATAATCTACTTAATTAATTTAGATTAAAAAATTTAAATTAATTATTTATAAAAAATATGTATTAATTTTTTTAAATATCTTCTTAAATTATAAATTAGTCCTCACATTATTTTATTAAATCTATTACCCAAATTTAAGATTCCAAGTCTAATTTTAATATTTCAAACTATACCCAACTCATGCTAATAATAATTTTTCTAATTAAAAAATAATATAGGTGGGCCAGCTTGCCAGTTCACCATGGACTGACCTGTATCCATACCGCTAGCTTGCTCTTTTTTTTTTTTTTATCGGTAAGCCATCGCAAGCCTACTTTATCAATCCTGTTTTTAATTTGCTCTTATACACAGAAAGGAGTATTAATAAAAAAAATAATATACTAACAGTGAAAAACAAAAGACAAAGGCAAACTGGGATATACCTTGAAGTAGAGCTGGGAATATAGGTTGGGGCCCGCGGCCCAGCCTGCCATAAAAGAAAGGGTTAGGAGTTGGCATTTTACGAGCCCGTCAAAATGCAGGCTAGCATAACCCGAAGGTTGACCCGCCTAACCTACCATTTTTTTTCCTCCAAATTTTTCACATAAACAATATGTTATTATATTTGAAAATTTTCTTCTCTTATTTAGATTTCAATTTTCATGTTACATAATACATATGTAAACAAAAAATATTTTTTAAAAATAAGCATAATATATTTATAGCAAAAATTTAATAATTACAATCAAATATAAGACAATATTTATTACAGAAAAAAGTGTTTTAGAAAAACATGATGAATGAACTTTAAAAAAAAATAGATAAATGCACTTCTAATTTATTAAGAGATAGTGTTTTGTATCAAACATAGCATTTGTATGTAAAAAATTATAAAATTTATCGCTTGATGAGTTGATGTTAAATGTTAATCATACAAAATATTTGTAATGTATTGTTTTATATTAATATTGACTATTTTAAATGTGGTTAAACAGAATTTATACTTGTGATTGCTTTTAAAATTTTAGATCATTATTTATTAATTTAAAAAATTAAATAAAAATGAAATTTAAAAATTGAGAATTAAAAAAAAAAAAAAAAGATGGCCGCTAGCCCGCCAACCAGCTATGACAGGTTAGGATTGAGATTTTTCCAACTCGTCAGAATGCGGGTTGCTCTAATCCGTACCGCATAACCCGCGGGTTGTAACGGGTTGACCTACAACCAACAGACTCACCCATATTCCCAGCTATACCCTGAATAACGGAAAAGAACACGTAACCTCCGAACCTCACTGAGAAAAGGAAAACCTTATCCTGCTTCTTGCCATGAGCTTCGCTCGTGTGAGCCGCGAGAGAGGCTTTGTACGTGTCTTGTCGAATTTGAAAGCGACTGTGGAGGAATCGAGTGCGTCCGATTAATCTTGTTTTTCTTACGACAAAAAATTAATTAATCATGTTGGATCCCTGTTTGTTTCGGACAATAACTTGATGGATATATCGGGTAAAAAGAGTCCATAGCTTCTATACCCCATGGGATTTCACCCTCTCCCACACGCACATGATTCTGTCGTGTCAATGATTGATTTCTCGAGAAGAACGAGGGGCCCATTAGCGTCATGTGCGACGTGGCCTTTTAAGTTGTAATTGATTTCTGACGATTCAGATCGAGCGGAGTCACCATTACGCCGAGAGGGAGAAGAAAGCTCTGAAATCTTCTATGTCGAAATGGAGAAGAAGACATCTTGGGTCTGTACTGTTATTACACAGGTTTCTCTCTGCTTTGCTCTCTACGTAGCTCTCAACTTGGGCCATCCTCAGAACTTCATATATGGCGGACGTACCTCTCTTGATTTGCACTTCATCAGTGTGAAAGGAGGCTTCAGACCGCTTCAACAACAATTAGATCTCATGAAACAGGTGTTTTTTCCCTCGCTTCTCATTTTTCTTTTGATTTTGGAATTGGGTCAGTTTCTCTTTCTTCAGCTGAACTTAGTGCATCATAAAGAAAGAAATTTACTGTTTTATACTTGATACCAGTTCTCTGCTAATACAGATATAGCATTATGAAGTTGATTTTCATTTGCAGCGAGATTTTGAATTATATAATATAGGCTTATCGAAGTACATTTGCTTTTCTTCCCACATTTTCCCTGCCATACCGTGTAAATTTTATAATTGATCTGACTGCAGTGGAGTATTATATATGGATATGTTACTTTTAAAGGCGTCCCACCTATATGATGAAAGGCATGAACCAGATGTTCAGATTCATCTCCTTATCTTTTTCCCTTATTTACACATTGGAATCCACAGTCTTATTGTTGGCTCAACTAATTCTGGTCTAGCTTCTATCATTGCCCCCCTCCCAACCCCCCAAATTTAATAATTTCGTCGTTCATGAAGATGGAGAAGGTGGCAAAGACTACAGAGTAAGTTTTGTCGTGAGCAGCAGTGAACTTGGGGAAGATGATCCACTCTTTCAGAATGTAAGATCATTATTTTTCCGGGATGAGAATCCTCTTCTGTTGGTTTATTTTAACTTTTAAGAAAAATACTTATGGCCCATTTGTTATGCTCGATAAAATAGAATAGAAAGATAATGTGGATGAAAAATATTTCTCATTTTTCTAGATAAAATAAGGGCTAATATAATTTCTAATCTCAAGATCCAAACAGTAGGTTCCGGTCCTTCAAGTTTTATTTTATTTAAAACATTGGTTTCTATAATTCAATAAAAACTTGGATCATTTTACCCCTTAGTGGACCAAAACCTATGATTTGAAACTCGAGGGACCAAAACCAAAATGAGAGCAAACTGTAGGGACCAATGATTATATTAACTCATAAAATAATAACAAAAAAAGGCAGTTGCTGGTAAACAATGATAATAAAAGAAAACAAATATGGCATACTTCAATTTTTTGCGTAATGAAAAGTGAATCTTTTTCCTTTCTTGTTAGCAAATGAGGCTTTAGATGTGGTTCTTGAAGTGTATGATGACAAACTCTGAGCTGTTGAATTGGAAAAAAAAATTGTTCATGTTTTCTGTTGAAAAACTTTGTACTAAAAACCTAAGGAACTTCAACTAAATCTTTTTGCTTGTTTTAACTAGTTTAACTAAACTTTGAAATGGTCTCTGATGTTTTGACTGAAATATTAATTTATGACTAAAATTGAGGTGCCATACATATTGTTTACGTCCTTTTATGAGAATGAAAATAATGAATTATCACTGTTTGGTCTTGTTCATTGGCTGGATATTTGATCTTTATTTAAACAAGTGGTTATAATTGATTTCACTTTTATTACAAGGACATTCTGGTTCATGTTTCTGTAAGTAACGATATTTTGTTTTCCCCAAGGCTACGCAGCAGTTTCCATCACTGAGACTTCCCTGGTATGCTATCATCTGAGCAATTGACTCTGTTGGTATATTTGCATCGCATGGAAATGATGTCATCACAAAGTCCCGAATTGCCATGTATTATTTGATTAATTACTTTCCTCGTTTTGTCTTCTTAATGTGATGGTTATGAAAGGAATTCGTCTGCAGGTACAACTCATGCTCCTCTAGAACTTCAAAAAGACCAGAAGCAGGGTGCTTTGCAGAGAAGTTCAAAATATCAAATGGGAAGACGCTAGATATTATTGGTGTGGATACTGAATCACTGCAAGTATGTGCTTGTTTGTTCAAATATTTATCTGCTTATGTTTATCTTATTGATGAATTCCAATCAACGCATTTTACTAATGAATTTCTTTAGTAGAGCTGAAGAGTTTCTCATCATACATATCTGCTTATGTTTACTGATGAAATATTTGCTTAGTTTCTAATTCCATCTTAGCTCAATCCAACTTATGCATAAAAGATTGCAAAATTCTTTTTTCCTCCCTATTGGTTTTGCTGTCCGAAAGTGTGTTATTAAGCTTTAATATGTTCATCTACTATGGTTGTTTTCATATACAGAAGGAATTTGCATTGAGGGGATCACTAAGTGGTAACAGGAAGAATCAGTTGCACTGGATGATTAGAACACTAGAAAGAAACGCTAGTAACTGGTATGGTCAGTTTTTATACTTCTGCTGCGTATATAGTTAACTTAGTTTATGTATTTTGGGCATATGAAGTAACAAAAGTTTGTAGTTTGCATCAGTTTAAACCTTAGAAAACTCGTGATTTTATACGTATATCATTACAGCTTGGCTTCAAATTGATCTTTTTATTCCTTTAATGCTCAAACAAAAAAAATGTCATTCTAATAATTGATGAATTATAATTTCAGGCGCATAGTTGTTGGATACCAACCACTGGTTGCTTGTGGGGAGAATGAGAAAGTGGAGAAACAAGATGTTTTCAAGTATCTGCATAGAATGTTTATGAAACTGGAAGTGGTAAGTCTCTATGCAGTCATTAGGTATATGAGGTCTTTACCGTCTCTAACCTGACTAAGCCAATATTATTCTTCAGAACTTGTACTTGAGTGGCCAGGATTGCACTAGCCACACCCAAGAGAGTAGCGTAGCTTACATTGGGAACCCTGGCCTGACTCAGAAAGAACCCTATTCACTTTTTGTGAATGGCAACTCTTCATTAAGTCTGTGAGTACCACTTTTCAACCTCTGTTTCTGGTCATGGGCAAGGCTTTGGTACAACTTTTTAGCCTTTTGCCATCAAGTTTTCTCATAAGAATATGACAAATGAATACTTTCGGCAACTCAGTACCTTAGGACTGGTCTTTAAACTAGGTTCTTTTACATGTTCTGTTTCCATAAAAAAGTTTAATTGCAGTCTTTTACCCTAACTTGACACCTGCTACTTAGTGCTCTCTAATGAAATTTCTTTTTCTTTTGGTTCTTTTAGAGAACTGGCTAATGGGTTCCTTCTTCACAGAGTCAGCCCAATGCAAATTGTAAGTATCTAACTACCAGTAACTTTCAGTCAAGAGATATTCTGAGTTATTCCATAATATTTTCTAAAATAGCTCTGATCTACTCACCCATACATTAAATACATTGCACAAGTTTTGAGTCATGTTGTGCATAAAGAAATTCATAGAAAGCTAGATCTGATACATGTAAGATATGTATGTCAAAGGTAGGTCTTAAGGAAAAGTGCTTCATACATGCATGCTCGCTCGCGCACATTGCTTATTTCTCCATGATTTGTTTGCTCTACCATTCTTTATGAACCACGTTCACCTAAGAACTAGATTGGATCATTTATGTTTGCATAGAATCTGAGGAATAAATTAGACTGTTCATGACTTGTGAATAATGCGATTTGTTGTAGATTTTATATATGTCTTTTGATGATATTGGTTTTTCTCTTGCATGTCATGATTGTTTGAAGTTTCATCTTTCCATGGCAGGTAACGTACTATATTAATTCATCTGGTGAAATTGCGTACAAAACTGTACTGCAGCAGAAGGGAAGAGAGGCGATGTAAATATATATCCAGTTGATGGTCCATTGTTACTTATTCTTTCAAGATTAGGTTGCTTTAAAGCCATAATTTTCTGTCCCATTTTATTTATCCTATTTCCCAATTTTCTTATCAAACTGCAAGAACTAAAAGCTCTCCACTTTGAAGAAGTTCATTCTTTTAATGTATTCAGGGCTGTTGTGAGGAACAATTTGGTGATTGATTCTTCAGCTTTAGGTTCTTCTGATAAGTTTTGTAGCGTTGCAAAGCTTTAGTGTTTAGTTTAAGATTCTTGTCCAGGAATGGTTAAAGAAGTTCTTGAGATTCATTTGCTGCACTCTATATTTTCTGCTCTCAGGTTTTGGTCATTTTTCAAGCATATTGTTTGTAATTTTATGAGTGTTAGCTTGAAAAGTTTATAGATTTTTTTTAATCAGCTCAAAATAAGTGGATTTTTTTTTTTAAAGCATTAATAATAAGAGTTAATTACAGGATAAATTAGGGATAAAAATACGCATATCTTAAATTAATTGGAATAGGTACCTGATGACAGGTACCAAAGGGTTTTTTCCCCTGTTTCGAATGAACCTTGATTTATTTTAATAAGTTTTGTTTTTTTTTTGGCATATTAGTATAACTAAGAAATATGCCATTAACTTTTTTTTTCATGAGGCACAACTATCCTCTTTTAAAGTATCATCGACTATGATTTAAAATGATAATCAATTTTATTAAAAAAAAATGCAATGTCTACAATTGAGCTTCATGATGTGTAATTTCTACAATTAACCTGGCAATAACAACATCTGTACTTTATTATTATTTTCAGTTCAATTGTAGGCATTTCATTAAGATGGTAATTATTTTTTTCCTAATTTGTTAAGTCTTGATATTATAAAAAAGTTGTTAATCTTAAGTTAGAAGTTGTTAAAACTTGTTGCAATATTATTTTTTTCCAACTCAACTGTAGGAAATATGCATTTGCTGAACATAAGAGTATTTCTGTTATTTTCTACATTTTTATAAAACCAATTTAGATTTTTCCTCATTGGCTATTAGATCTTTGATTTGGAATTTAGGGAGGATTTGACAACTCTCAAAAGTGCTTTTAAGAAGTTTTTTTACAAAATGAGATAAATTTCCTTCATATATTTTTTTATAACCCGTAAAAATATTTTTAAAACTATAGTTTGGTTTCTATTCAAATTTTTTTAGGTTTTTTTTGGGGGTACTTTTTGGGTCATTTTCTCAAAATCCATCTGCAAACGATTTAGCCCAAAGCGATAAAGTCAGGGCCCGTAAATAAAACCCCAAGACCAGCGACGAGTGAATGACGAAACTGCCACCGCTTTTTTCGTCGCCAACGAGTAACATGAAGGGCCGCCTTGTCAAAAGGGAAAAGGAGCTACATTATTTAATTGCTCGTCGCTTGTTGGAGGCAAGCTAGGGTTTTCTCCATCCACACTCCATCTTAGAATGAGGCGGACTCTTCGAACTTCAGTGCGTCACACTGAAATCTCGAAGACGATCAGCCGATGATTTCCCCGAAACCCTTGAGCAGCATCAGCAGCATCTCTCTTTCTCTCTCTCTGTCTCCATATCCATATATATACGCACATACATTACTTCTTTCTTTGTTCTTTCTTTTCCCTTTTTCCTCTCTCTCTCTCTCTCTCTCTCTCTCTCTGTGTGGCTGTGATGAAGGTTTCGGAGTGTGGAGGGATCAGCAGACGTGAAGGTAAGGCTTGCCGTTGGCGGGGCGACGATATCAGGGGCCTTCCTGGTGGAAATGACTCTGGTCATTTTCTCCGCTAAGGAACCGATGTTGTTGCAGCCCGGGAGCTCTTGCTTTCCGCCGATGTATCCCATGCTATCGACCTGAGCCTCCTTATGGGAAAAAAGGCCCTTTTGTCTTCTTACGAAGTTGCTCTTCCTCACAGCTTTTCTTTTGTTATTCACTTTGTCTGTCCTCTGTTTTAGCTGATAAACCCATAGAAGATAATTCGACGCCTCTTAAGATCATGTTTCAAACGAGGCAATGAATGTATCAGTTCTACTACGTTGGAACACTTTCTTTCCTTCGTTCCAAATAATTCTTGGACCCCAAGCCCGTTCTCTCTTTGGATGCCGAGAAAGCCCTTTATGTAGGAGAGAGGTTCTATGTCCGCCACCGCCCTCACTGTCAAGATCAAGGTCATGTATGGTTAGGGATGTTTGGAATGAGAGAATGAACGAATCAGTCCGATGACGAGACAGTTTCTTTCATTCTCTCATTCCATACATCATCTAATCAAACATAACTTTAATTCATTGCTTGAGAAATGCTGCTGTGGTAAGATAGTCATTTATTTGGGATCGTCATCAGGCGAAAAAAGAAAATGTTTGACTCGGTTATTCTAACTGGTTGTAAAGTGAAATCATTATTCAGAGTTTTTGCACCGAGTTCATGGTACCTGTAAATGTTGGAGACTGGTAGTTGGGAGTAGAGGGAAAGAGGAGGATCCAGTGTTTAAATTGTTAACTTCTGTGCCATATTTATATCTAATAATCTAACAAAAATGTTCTGTTTTAAAAATAAATTGTGAGCTAACCCCTGATGCATTCCATTGTCGAGATATCTTATGATAATTGAACTGATGCTAAGGAACGAAATCTGAAGAGCTAGGTCTACACTCTACGATTATCTGAATAACATCACAGCGCAGCTATAAGTACACCATAAACAGTGAAGATAAGTAGATCAAGATCGGCAGCATTTATAGAGGCAGCTTTAGAGGATGCTGGAGGTGTATTCGGCGGGGATGCAGAAGTAGCAGGCCCAGGGTTGGCTTTTCTGGCGTTGTTTACTGCTGGAAGTGGTGGATCAACAACGTTTTGAAGAGGTGGAAGTGGTGCTTCTGCCGGTGGCCTTAACTCTGGCGTAATGGAGTTTATTAGGTCACCAGGGTTGGCTGCAATGAAGGAAAAACTGTGTTTTGGAGGATTAGGATTGCTACATGGGCTCCCTGCGTATTAGACAATGGCAATATGTCATGAACTTTTGTTTATCTTAACGCTTGTAAATTTTTATTTTTCTTTGGTAGTACGGAAATTTGCATTTGCTGGGATGAAATAAGAATGGGTAATACTTACTCATATATCTATTGGCTGTGGCTGGAAATGCTGTTACGATTCCATCAACCGCCGCAATTTGGATTAGAGTAGCAATCTCCACGTAAGGATCTGAGTAGTAATCAAATGCTAGGGAGATGTACTCATTTTTCAGAAGATGGACAAATACTGTGAGGTTTGCATCTTTCATTTCTTTAACAACATTTGTCATTCCAGTAGTGAAGGAATCGGATGTTGTTATTATAGAGCTTTTTGGAAGGTTTACTGCATTTGCGTACTTCTTGATTTCCTGGACTGTTGTCCCTGGTGCATCGCCTATTTTCTCTTCGATTAGAAGAACCCTTCTGTAAGATTGGATATCCTTAAACTTGGATAGCACTGAGGTGTCATCTGATTGGATCATAACTTCTTGTGTGGATTGTTTGTCAAAGGTTGCATTGCTCAAGGCTGTGCTAACATTGCCAACGATGTCAAGACCCTTATTTGATGCGAGGTAGGCAGCATTCTGTGAAACAAACAAATAAATTGAGTAAAAGTCTGTATTTTTTTAAGGAAAAACATTGTAGGCCGTAGGGTAGCTGCGTACCTGTATGTTTATGAGAATGCCAGAAACTGCCTTCACCTTGGCCATCTCCAAAAATTCGGAGAGGGTGACAAATTTACCACTGTTTTTGTCTATTGGGTTCCTTTGAAAGCCATCGCTGACATAAGGGCTAGCAATTTGAGCTGAAACAATAAATTTGTTAGTGAGTGCTGTTTAAATCTTCTGATCCCATGGCTAGATTTGTATGTTAATTGTTTGTTTTTATTGAACATTACGTTTTAAGGTCTGAATCTCTCTCCATGTCAGGTCAAAGGAGAAGATACCACTTTCGGATTGAATTTCGGGTACTTTGGAAGATTTAGTCATAAATTGACTCATGGCTGTGGTAGATCCCATTAGATCAGCAGTGTCAGAGCAGAAGGCAACTCCATCTTTTGTCATCTGAACTGAGCAATCTATAATGTCGGCCCCGTCATTTATTGCTTGGTGATATGCAAGATCAGTGCAGCCTGGATAAACACCACTTGCTCCGTCACTGCTGATGACCAAAACTTTTCCTGCGAAAGCAAATGATATTTATTATGATATAGCCTCTCTGTACTTCATGTTTGAGGTTCTGATTTGGATCATTGCAAGATTGGTATGATACCTTTTGTAGGCTTGGTGATTTTATATGCCAAGCATGCTGCAGAAATAACGAAGTTGTGGGAGTTAGACTTGTTGGCTGTGGGTTGGGCTCTCTTGGTTATGTACTTATGCTGTGGCAAAAACAAAGATAAGGAAATGAAGGATCAAAGGTTTGGTATCATCTTACCGATGGCTGCTGATGCTGTTGATGGGAAATCAGTGGCAAAACCATCGACAGAAGCGCTATTATCTAAAAATTGCAGGTACTCAACAGAAGGATCATAGCTATAGTTATAACTTGCAATGAGATCATTACCAAAACCAGACGCATATACTTCTAATCCCAGTTTATGTGCATCAGCTGCTAGTGTTGTGGGAGGCCCTAAGTATCCGTCTGGCTTGATCGGCCATATGTATTCTTTTGGAACCATGATCCCTGATGCAAATAACTTGATTGTTGTGAGATCCTTGGCTATGAAACCGTATGTCTGGTTGGTCGAGGATTCAACTTCACTGGAGTCAAGAAACTGGAGGATGACCTTTGTAATAGCCTTGTTCACTCTCCCATTGATGCTCTTCAAGAAACTAATCTCTGGAGATGAAACGAAGGCTATGCTGGAAGAACTCAATGCTTTCATTGTAAAATCTTCCATATTTAATCCGTGCTGGGCGTAGAATGCTGCATGCTGCACCAGCTCAATCAATTACATTATTACATTTAAAAAGTTTTGTGTGAGAGAATATGATCTAATTTTGCCTGAAGATTGAGAGAGAGAACCTGGACATTCAACCAGAGCCTTGGGGGTTCACTCTTTATTATGTCATCAAGAGTGGCAATTGGATACTGGCCATCATACACAGGGGGTCGAGAATATATTGCTTGATTCACTGTGGACGAGGTGGCAACCGGTAAATTGTAAATTGTCACGTTCTAACTTACCATAGATTGGTATGTATGCACTATAAGGTTTGTGTTTTTATATTCTCCTCCATAATTTCATAGGTCGTTCTTTGTTTCAGGTTGAGTTTTCCCTGGACCTAAACAGAAAATGAAAATGAATATTGATTTCTTTCCTTTTAATACAAGGTCGTGCTCTATACTTTCTATTTTGTTGTGACATGCTAATTTGATTTTGATACTGGGAATCTTGTGTTTCTTCTGGCAATGAGAAAATGAAGCTGCATTGGTGACTTACTTTGCACATTTTGTGCTAGCTGTTTAGCTGTATAATCCACTGAGAACCATGCTGTGAGATTCTTGCCATTAACGTTGTAGGTTTTTTGACCTTTAGGATCAAATTGTGCGACGTTGGTTGCATTGTCAAGCCTAATGTCTGTCAGACACAAACCAGCCCCATCTTTTGTCATCTGAAGATTGCACAAGATTACTAAATCTGGCAAACTTGTGTCCACTGCAATATTAATTGCATATTCTGTGCCTTCTGGGAAAACCCCGGATAACCCACCCCGGGCTACTACAAGCGGTCGTCTTCCTGCAAATGATGTGCGAAGAGCATCAATTACCATGATGTTTATAGTTTTTAGGTTATATTTGGTACATAGATTCTTAATGTAACGAGTATAATGAAGTAACTGTGGAATCTGAGCCCATGAATTAGATACCATAGTTTATGGGTTGAGTAAATCAATAAATCATGTTCATGACTCATCATTGGCACCATTTTTATAGATTTTACTGATAATTTGGGATCAATAATAGACATAAATTTGTTACCAGGTGATTTCTAAGAAACATTTTCAGAAATTAATACCAAACATGAGAAAAGCTGAAAAATTGGAAGGGGGAAAAAAAAACAAATCCCCACAGTAGACGAAACAAACACCATGATTACCATTTAATGTTGACCAGTTCTGCGCAGGAGTAGCACGAGGCTGTGGGTTCGCAGGATTACTTGGATTTGCTATGCTCTGGGCTATTGCTTGTATGAACAAGGAAACAAAAAACAAGCTTGTGATCATATTCCTAGCCTGCTACAATTTAAAATTCTAGTCAATTTAGATCATAGCCATTGAGGGTTTCTAGGAAATGCAGCAACTTGGTTCATAGTTGTATAACGTTCATGTTGCCTTAAATTTCTTTGTGCCGTTTTCAGTTGCTGGTATTTTATGTTTTCACAGATCTATTGTTTCACAGCATCATTAAATGAAAACATTGAAAACAAATCAAATTGCATTTAAGGATTTCCCTGCCTTTGCTGTTTTTTTCATCAGAAGATTAGAACATCCATCGTTGAAGAAGTTAATGCCAGTTCACGTTATGCATAGATCCAACCGAAAACTGTCATGCATTTGACTACATGCTAGAACCTAGAGGTATCGCATAAAATATGTGAAAAAGAAAAGGGTTTTGAATTGTCATTCCCAGAAACCCATACAATTAATCCTGCTCTGTTTTGCTGTATGAAGCAGACATTCCCCCAGGTTTCGATGAAATTCCTCCAAGGAGAAAGTGAGGAAAAGAAATTTAATGGATGAGTAAGGATTGAGTGCTTCCAATTTTTTCCCCCCCACTTGCTTCCCACGACGCATCTCAAGCTTGAATTTGCTGGTCAGGATTTCTTGCAAGTTCTTTGTCTAATTATTTACTATATTTGGTTTGTCTTGCTTATTCTTTAAACGAGACTTGATTTGCTGAAATCTGAACGGGAGATTATATTTGAGTAGATTAATATATTAATCTAATTAACTAACGGTATTGATTTATTATTTCTTGTAAACAGCACACCCAAGCTAAACTTCAGGTCCAAAAACATCCAAACCAAACTATCTGTGTTTATATTTTGGTTAAAATATATATTTGGTTCTTTTATTTTGTATAAGGTTTCAATTTGGTTATTTAACTTTAAAAAGTATATTTTTAATCCGTTAACCCTAAAAAATTTTCAAAAAAATAATAACATTAAGATCTTAAATGTTGATAAAATATTATCAAATACTAACATATTAAGTTTAATTTCTAAAATATCCATAATTGTTACAAAAAATCATCACCCCTAATGATTTTAGGGTTAAAGGACGAAATATATGCTTTTTAAAGTTAAGGGGTCAAATTGAAACTTTATACAAAGTTAAAGGACCAAATGGATACTTTAACCTTATTTTTTTTCCTTCTTTTTTATATAAATTACCAAGTTTAAAGCTATGCATTTATATATTAAAAAAAACAACGAAAAATGTATATTATGATAAAAATGAAATTTAAATTTAAATTTTCTTAATTTATGAAAGGAAAAAAAACTGAATCATTCTAAATATCTAATAAATGATTTTTTTTTAACAAAAAAACTCATTTTTCGCATACAAATGGTGTAAATTCCGTATACTAACGTTGTCCTTTGATTCCGGTCAAAAAAAAAAAAAAACGTTGTCCTTTGATGAAAATAAAAAGACTTTTGGTAGTTTGCTAATTAAGGAATGAATGAGACAAAAGAATAACGGGAATAACGACGGTATTCTGTTCTTGGACACCAAAGGTTGCTCCTTTTTTTTTTGAGCAAACCAAAGGTTGCTCCTTTACATAAGAAAAATACCGGCGATGTCGGCTCCGTTTTTAATTGGCCCCAGTTCAAGAGTTCCACAAATCCCAAATACTCCCCGCCGCAGCAGAACACCTCATCACCATTCGTTGTGGGAGTCGAATACTTTTGTTTGATGTTTGAATAGTTTTAATCTTTTGGTTACGTACATTTCTAATTTCAGCTTTCTCTGTTACCGACGATTACGAAGCAAGAGAGAACGTATAGAGAAGGGGGAGACGGAGGGAGATGAAGATCACAGCTTTGTTGGTGCTTAAATGCAGCTCGGATGGATCCGATCCGGTTATACTGGCTAATGCTTCCAATGTAAGTCACTTCGGTTACTTCCAACGCTCCAGCGTCAAGGAGTTCATCGTCTTTGTGGGTCGTACGGTTGCCAAACGCACCCCTCAGGGCCAACGCCAATCCGTCCAGCACGAGGGTTCGTCTTCCCCTTGATTCGGATGTGCTTTAAGGGTTTTAGGGCCTCTAGTCTCGATTATTTGCTCCTGGTTTGTGGAGCCTGAATTATGGGTTTTGGGTCGCTTCCGGGAAATGAAGGGAGTTTTTTTTTTTTTGGGTGGTGATTGTTGATCGCTTATTTGATTTATTCCGATGGGTGGCAATATACCCATGCCGATTAAATTTCCTGAATTTCTCATGAATTATGGGTTTGTTTGCGAATCATCATGAAATCACTGTCGCAAGAGACTTTTTTTGATCCCTTAGTACTTGCGGCTTGAATTCAGCTCTGCTCATTGAGATGAAGCTTAAATGATGCTTGTGGATCTTAGGGGACAACAAGATAGCTGGAAATAATTCTTTCTTGACAGCGATTTTCAGTGTTGGGCGATTTTTACTTTTGGATGGGCGAACATCAATTTCTTTTGAGTATCTGCTTATTCGCCTCTTCGAAAAATTGAGTTGATTCTGATCTAATTTATGTTTTTTCTTTTGTAGAGTATAAGGTGCATTCGTACAACAGAAATGGCCTTTGTGCGTTGGGATTTATGGATGATCACTACCCTGTTCGAAGTGCATTTTCTCTTCTTAATCAGGTGAGTTCAATGTGGGCTTTTCAATAGATTTACTTTCACCCCCACGCTGAGGAGTATTATCGAAGCAGCGTGTAACTTCTTTTGCTGATTTTTTTTTATAGGTTGATTTGAATGTATAATTTAATCTTATTCTAATATTATAAACGAAGGAAAATCACTTAAGTTACTTGAACAGCTGCTATCTGTAATTCCATTGCCCCACTGACAGGCTGACAACTATTAATACAGATATTTCCTCATTGCTTAGATGATCCTAGCATTGGCATTTCTGATCCGACACTTTTGAGTGAATCTATTTGAACTACATTAAATTGTAGATACGTGTCAGGTTGAAGTATCTGTGACATAGCATATAATGTATAACACGCATAAAATATATGATAATAAACATGATGTCTTGCTGCTCTTGCAGGTGCTGGATGAATATACTAAAAGTTTTGGTGAGTCATGGAGAAGTGTTCAAGCAGACAGTACCCAACCATGGCCATATTTGAACGATGCCCTGACAAAATTCCAGGTATCTATGTATACTTCATTGTATCAGCTTCAGCTGAAGGGAGTCTTGTTGGATTGTGTTAATTGTACAAGTAGTGAAGTCTTTCTTTCTCTGTTCTGTGGCTTTCTACACAGCATGTTTTCAGTCTTGACTAAAACCCCCGTATTCTTGCTTCTGTTAAACCCAGGACCCAGCAGAGGCTGATAAGTTGTTAAAAATCCAGAGAGAACTGGATGAAACAAAAATCATCCTTGTAAGTATTGAGTTATTGCAAAACAATATTATTCCCTGCATTTCTTGTCCACCACATATTCTTATCTTCTGTTTGACATTGTTTTCTTCCTTCAATTTAAGCTTTGCTGTCATGTTGTTGGTTATTCCATAAGAAATCGTTCTATGCTTGAGATCTTGATTTTTTTTTTGTTTGATTATCACTCTGCTATTATAAATATGAAATCTATAATTCTAAATTATTTCCTTCCTCAATGAGATGGTGATATCTTAATTCTTATGTGAAAATTTTATAGTGCTTCTTATTTGGGTTATTAATTGCTCGGTTGCTATCCTATCATGTATCGGTCTCTTCTTAATCTGCGTTCAATTGGTTACCTATGTGACGTTTTGAAACATGGATTTAAGAACCACATGATAGAGACATGACAGAGTTTCTATCCTCGATGTTATTTTGGGCTCAATGTATGATTTATTCTCTCTCTTCTTCTTTTTTTTTTTTTCATTTACAGCATAAAACTATCGATAGTGTCCTTGCAAGAGGGGAAAGGTTGGACAGTTTAGTTGATAAGAGTTCTGATCTGAGCGCAGCATCCCAGGTATGTTAATACAGCTCCTGAGTGCAGACAGTTATTGTGACGCTCGTCTTTCACTTACCCAAGTGAAGATGTAACTTTGGATAACATTATGTTTCCTAGCATGTGCTGAGTTAGGCTAGATCAAGACAACATATATAATCCATCATCATTCGCTCCCATGATAATACTGGAGAAATCTGGGGCTTTACAGGTGCTTTGCTAAGTGGCCCTTTTTTTTTTTTTTTTTTTTGGGGGTTGCGATGCAGACTTTTGAAGGGGGGTTTATAGGTGCTTGGCTCCGTGGATTTTTGAAAGGCAAATGGAATTCGTTTCATTTTCATAAATGACTATATAAGCATGAAAAGAGAATATTTTGTTCTCAAATCAGCTATCAATCTCATCCTTTTCGTTTTCCAATTTTTATTTTGACATCTGGGTTGCTACATGTATGATTCCCTGTATGAGATAAATTAAGAATTGAGTGTTATTGCCAACTGGTTGGAATGCTGACACAAGAACTTGATTATGTTGTTTGAAACAGATGTTCTACAAGCAGGCCAAAAAAACCAACCAGTGTTGTACCATATTGTAAAGTTTTCAAGGGTAACGTTATCCTGTAATGGCATTCCCCTACCTGAGCTGATGTTGAGGCTGTTTCATGAGGAGAAAATTGCTTCATATGTCTATATCTCTCCATTGATTGCATAGTGAAATTGTGTGGATTCTCCCTCTATATTCTGCATAGCGAAAGGAAACTCATTAGTGGATAGAAGTCTTGTATTGGTTGAAATATGCCTTCACCCCTTTGGTGATAAATTATCATTAGCAATAATATTGTCTGTAATTCTTCCTACAAGCTTTAGTTTAAAAATACATGATATATCTTGCTACCCATTCCATGTTACTCAACATATCTCAGCCTGTGGGTTCTCATATTTTTAGATAGATTTGATGTATAAATTTAAGTACATTAAGTTGATTAAACATCCTGCTTTTCCCCCTGAATGGAATAATTTAAATACATACCCCTCACAATATGAAGAGCTTACCCTAGAACTCGAGTGCCATCGGACCAAAAAACCACTGGTAACTATCCGGTTTTTGGGTTCCTCTAGGAACTTGCGTTTTTGCATTACTATTTTCAAATCCTGCTTGTGTCATTCGAACAACGAAATACGCAATTATGGAGAAGTGTTAATTTCGTGGTTCAAATATACGTCTATCTTATATGCGAAATCGTCTCCGATGTATGGTATTTGAGATGAAACCAATTACGAATTATATCTTGAAGATTTCCTCCTCCTTTCCACTTGCTTCTCGCATTTTTTCCCCTCAGGAAGGTTTCTTGATGAGCTTCAATCCAGTGATGAGGCTCAACGCACCAGATACTGTTACATACAATCTTGGGCCAGGGAATAAATGCTTAAAGATTAGTGTTCAAAATATCTTTACATAGACATCCAGGATATCCAAACGAAAAACAATTAAATATTAATACAACATTACACGTAATGATATAAAATAGACGCTCAAAATTAAAGCATCCTATCCCCTCATAATCAGTAGCGACAATATTCTTGTCACATCACCAATGTCGCATCGCCATCTGCATTTAGATGAGGATAAGATCGGACTCATTCCCACGGCTTTCTGAAGAAGTAAAAACTACAAGACAGGATTCTCACCTAAACAATAATCCTTCAACTCATAATAGAAGTAGAGGCATCAAACAGACAAAAGTTCACATATTTACAGAAAGCCATTCAAATATTACAGACATGCAAACACAGTTTGATTAAATCAAGGTTCCCTATGAGCAAGACATGGTTGAGGATCTATCTGCCCAGAATGGATTTGAGCCACCAAATGCCTTTACTGTCTTGAGGGGTGTCTGATTCTGGAGGAGGATCACTCTGTGGTGTCTTGTGCAGTTTGCTCACATCATATCCCACTTCCCTTGCTTTCTCAACCAGCATGTTGTATATCTCTTCATCCAAATGGTTGCTCCTGGATAAAATCTACATCCCCACACAATATTTTCAATCTTTAGGTTATCACAGCACAAGAATCAGCCAAACAAGAATTTGACCAATCACAAATACACTTTACTGTTTCAACCTATTCCTCCTAGTTCCCAGCATATTCTCTGTAAAACAACCTTTAAGAGTTTGAAGACAGTCATCTTGAAATTATTAACAGTTTAAATTAGAATACTGTGATAAGGTGAAGATCAAAGCTTATACTGATGCATATGAATCCCAAGGACCAAGCTTGTGAAGGATACCATAGTAGAATTGATTAAGCGTATGAGAAGTCTCAGAATCACACACCCCATGAAGCAGAGAAGTTAAAAAGTTGACAAGTTTTCTTACCCAAAGGTATTTTCTGCTAGGCTGGCCGATCAGAGCATGCTGATAATCGTTGTCGATGTACAGAACCCAGTAATCTCCAGTTACTGGAATAATGGGCAAAAACGGAGGGACATAGAATCTGACCTTGAGCTTAGCTTCATCGCTCTTAGGATCAGCCTTATAAGCAGTCCCTTCTATAGAACCTCTCTTTCCATCACTCCAGGTTTCGTTCAGCACATGCACAGTACCGTCCGGGTTCAGAGTGTAGGTGGCTCTGGTGTCCACTCCGTTCTTAGGCTGAAACATCGACGGGAACGAAGCAATCTCGTACCAACGACCCATGTAACGTTCTATGTCCAGATTCCTCACAACCTCCATCTCTTTGTTCGGCATTGTTGTTGGGGTTTTTTTTCTGATTTGGTAATGGGGTACTTCACTTGTCTCACAGGATTGTGCCGCTCGTTTTGATAAGGTTTATTGGATTTTCAAGGTTGATAATCTTGGCGCGTGTGACGTGGAGGATTCTCTACCAGACACGTAGGAGATGGCAGTTTCTAGTGCATGTTCTGAAGATTATAGATTGGTCTCACTTGTCAATTTCTGGACCCCTCCAGAAGGAGAAAACGCTTGTAAATTTGCCTTGTGTTTCTCAGGTCCTTTTTGTGTTTCTTCTCAACCTTGCTCACCTAGGAAATGGCATCTCTGTGTTGTTTTTTTTTTTTTTGGGCCAAAGCATCTTTGTGTTGCTGGAAATGGTTAATTGCTCTGACAGATAAGCCTGGGGTCTGGTTATTTTACTATTAATATTAATTTTAAAAAATAGAAATAATATATATATGAGACTATTATTCAAGTAAATTACAATTCATATTTTTTATTTAAATAAATTAAAGTGAGGTCTATTTTGAGAAGGTGAATCTTGAAGCCCTTGGGGACCATGCTCATTGCTTAGCGGGAAAGTAAGAGCTTTTGCCTTTTGGACTTATGTGGAGTTCTTGCAGCTCAAGACACAATTGTGAATGTAACTTCAAAGAAACTGCTGGGTTGTTCGACTATTTCATGCCGCAAAAATATTCTGGTTACAATGATTGTGAGACTATTCAATTAAATTATATATCTTCTAAAATTACATTTCTTATAGTACTACCTTCGGTCCTCAATATAAGATCTTATTTGACTTTTATTTTGATCATAAATATAAGACCTCAGTCCATTTTGTCTCTCATATTTATGTATTTTTTTCCAAAGTAATCTTTCTAACAATGGTAGTTCTAGCCAATACACTTGATTAGTAAGGATATTTTAGAAAAAAACAATACATATTGTTATAAATAACTAACTTAACTTTTTTTAATCTTTTAAATTAGTCAACTAGCTCTTATAATTAGGATCAGAAGGAATATTTTATTAGAAATGCATTTGAACATTTTATCATTGATGTCAAAGGACTAAACCTTCGCTCCTCAGTCTCATGCAGCATTTAAGGGATCTCATTAAATGACTCATTAAAGACACGAACGTACATTTAATTGCTTCATGCAACATAATTAATGAAACCATGAAGCATCAAAACGTTTCGTCCTTTTGTTAGCATATCGTTGCTTGCTTCGCTGCATCTCTGTTTGGCTTCTAGAAGGTTTTCTGGAAGCCCAAATTAGCTTTAGACTGCTTAGTTTTGATTATTAGGCCTCTAAATTGTTTTTAAAATCAAATTTTCATATCAACAGCCAAAATTGTTTAACTTTTGCAACAACTCACGTGTCTTTAAAATTTTTTTTTTTGGGAAAAAAGATCAAGCGTGCATTAATTCATGTAACCGACCCACTTATGAAATAAGGTTCCGGACCAATTTTCAAATGCATCTATAATATCAACATGCATCATTTTAGTTGCAGTTATTTTAAATTTTTTAGAAATTGAAAGTTTTTTTTTGCCAATTTTAGAAATTGAAAGTTAAAGACAACCCATTGGTGAAATCCTTGAATTGGTAGCAAAATCTGAATTCATGCTAATGTAAGTATGAATATTTTTTTTATAGTACATAATTATTTTGCTGATCATATTTATAAGTCACTTTCAACATGTTTCACACAAATTAAGAAAAACCTTAAACTTCATTAACTCTCATTTAAAATTCAACAACTTTTCAATTTTAAACCCTATTTACTCCCTCCGTTCTTATTATAAAAGACAATAACGAAGTACGTTGATCAAAAAACACAGTTAAAATTAGTTAAAAAAACAATTAATGTGTAAAAGTATAATTTTTTTTCAAAAAATGCCCTCATTAATAAGGAGAGAGAGCATGAGAGAGAACAATTAAATTATTAAAAGAAAGAAAAGTGGGAGGGAGGGGAGTGAGTGGAGATAATAAATATGGAGATAATAAATATGGGTAAAATAGTAAATCAACACAAAAAAGTAGAGACAACTTGTAAGTGTCTCTTATATATAAGAACATGTCATAAGCATCAAATGTCTCTTATAATAAGGAACGGAGGGAGTAATATACATTATACCCTATGTAAACAAAGTCAACACAATAATAAATAGGGGTAAAATTGTACATTCGTATAAAAAATTTCTCTCAATGCTCTATAAATAAGACTAAAAAATATTTTCTCTCTGCTCTATAAATAGACCAGAGGTTAAATAAAGGTGAGCATCTCTCTTAACAAGAATTTAAACCTTAATTAATTTACCGTGTGGTGAAAGTTCCAACAGCATTGGTAGCAAAGATGCTTTTCCCAGTATGAGCTGTCCTTAATAGCAGACCCAGGATTTTAATGGCAATCATTCTCCCGGCCTTTTTTTTCCATACCATTGGCCCGATATTGTTTTTAATACAATTGGTCCGGCTCTTTTTAATACAATTCGCCCGTTTACAATTTTTCTTGAATAGGAAAAAAGGTTTTGACTTTTTGGTTTGTTCAATTAAACCGAATAATAAACCTATAAAAGCGAGACGGAGTGGGGTAACACAGTAAGCATTCCGGATCACAGACAGCTCATTAATGGGAACTCACTGACTCCTTCAATACCAAATCGAGAAATCCCACAGGAGAAAGTGGAACTCGCGATCATCTCAGCAGGTTAGATAGATCTTACTTCGCCGGAAAATGTCACGCCGATCCGGAGCTTGCCTGCGGTGTTGCCTGGTGGTTTTCGCGGTGGCTTCCGCTTTGGCCGTGTGTGGCCCTGCTTTGTACTGGAGATTCAAAAACACTATCAACCTTCACAATTCCAAACTCTCCTGTCCTCCTTGCGTTTGTGACTGCCCTCCTCCCTTGTCCCTTCTGCAGATTGCTCCTGGTACGGGCTTTCCTTTCCAATTTCTCAAATTTTCCTTATGGGCTTCTGTTGATTTGTGGCAAATCTAGTTCTTCTGTTTGATCTACTGTTATTTAATAGTCCTTCGACAGTGGAACGTGGTTTCAGAGAGGTTCGAACTTCAGCGGTTGGTCTCGTTCTGGGATTTGCTGAAAACGGACAATAAAATCTCTTTTTTCCCTACTAATTTGGAGTTGAGCATTTATACTATTGTTATTACCGATAGTGGGTTCACAGATTTCTTCTTGTTTGAGCATTGGGATTTTACCTGGAAAAATATGAGATTCCGTTATCCATTTTCATGATCAGTCTGTCCAAGTAAAAGCGGAGCAGATCGCCCATTTAGAATACATGATCTAAGTTTCTTTTTTGATTAATGATAACAAAGGATATACATTTCTTTGGGAGGGTCACTGAAACTTAATGTTGGGCATCCGCTCGGTGTTTCTCTTCCACCTCCCTCATCACTCGTGAGCTGCAGTTAGACCTCACATGCTTCAATCTTGCCCTCCAGATTATGGCGTTTTCTTATCCTTTTGTAGTTCAAGTTACCTGACATTAATTGTGAAGAACGCGCGGCTACACTTGTTAAATACTATATAATATCTCCAGGACTGAATGACACCTTTTTTGGGGTTAGGTTTACTCAAGCCACAGGCGAAAACTCTATGGTTATAATTTATAAATAGGTAAGCCGGCCGGGGAAAAAAAAAAAAAAAAAGCGCATGCACAAGAAAAATTAAAAAGCAACAAGTTTGCTTCTCTTACCGCGGTTCAAGAATATCTAATATTGAGAGCCTTATGAGAACTCATTTCATGTTTCACCTTTGTAGTTTTTATGTGCTTCACCAGTGCGGACAGAAATTTCATATGTGCGTGCGAGCGAAAATTACTTATTTAGTTTCTCGGATAGGCCAGCAGTTAATTTCTGGTAGACAGAGAGCTGTGACTTTCCAATGAAATGCGGGCTCTCTCCATTATGATGGTCCACTAAATGAATTCACTTAATCCAGTTGCCCAATCTCTCTCCACTGTTACGAGGAGTTGTCTTGAATGTTAAATTTGCGAAGTGGGAAATATATGTTTTTACTATGGATATTGTGGAAATTTCCCCATGCCTACCTTACCAAATGACGGCTTCATTTCTTAAAGTGTCAACTAGTTTCTCCTTTCTATAAACGACTACTTTCATATGCAGTTTGGCCCTCGACTCTTGTTATTTATATGCATTTAATTACATGTTTGCAAATTTATGGCTATCAATATAGAGATCTATGCAAACTTTGCCCTTCGGCTGTTATTTTGTTTAGTTGTGAATTCTTATTAATGTATGTTTCTAATTTATTTTTATGTGTTACTAAAGCTTGGCTACTAATCTAAACTGATTCATTTCTCTTGTTCTTGTTCCTGCACAGGGCTGGCGAATCTCTCAATCTCAGGTGGGAATTCACTCTCTGATGGCCTTTAGAACTTGTCATTTTCTTAATTATACATCTTTTATGAAATTTTTATATGACCAAGTCTTTCTGCCAGATGAACTTTCCTTTGCTCCATATGTCTCATGATTAATGAGGACTATTCTAGCCTGTCGATCAGCATTTTCTAGTTCATTATGGTTTGCTAATTAGTTCCATCACTCTCTATGATGCGAAATTCAGGTTCTCTTGAAATGTTTTCTTTTTTTCTCTTTGCCAGAAAGACATAGTTCCACTCTCATATGCATGTGCAAATACCTAAACCTTGTCGATATGTGGAATGTCTTGCTTTGAGGCAATTTTTCTCTGTATCAGTTTTGCACATTTTCTAGAAATTTAGAGGTGGCATTACTTCGTCCACGAGTCGATCATACTCCATTTTAATTTGCATCAAATTTATGATTTATTTAATTGGTGTCCCAGCTAATACAGGATCATACATTAATTTTTAGAATGAGTAGTCTAAAGAAGCCAATTTCACTATTCAAAACACATATGAATGATTTCAATTGTGTCGGTCAACAGATTGTGGAAGTAATGATCCGGATCTCAAGCAGGAGATGGAGAAGCAGTTTGTGGACCTTCTCACAGAGGAGCTGAAGTTGCAAGAGACTGTTGCTGGAGAGCACGCTCGGCATATGAACATTACTTTGGCTGAAGCAAAACGAGTGGCATCCCAGTACCAGAGGGAAGCAGACAAATGTATTGCTGCAACTGAAACATGTGAACAGGCAAGAGAGCGGGCTCAGGCCATGCTTACCCGGGAGAGAAAAATGACTCTGTTGTGGGAACGCCGAGCACGTCAAGTGGGCTGGGAAGGAGAATAACTGTATGGATTTTAGATTATATTATACTAATTATTCTGATGATTTTTATACAAGCATGCAAGCAAATAGCTCCAGTCTTCAACAGATTTAGGCTAAGAAAGTTTTTCTCATATTCTCTGTGTTAGTTTTATTGTCTTATGTTACCTTGTATCAATCAATTTTCATTACACTTGTACCAATGCATAAATGGCAATATTTATCTTAATGCAATCTCCTACTATGAGGTGGTCAGTGCATCTGATCCGGTGAAGGGCTTGATTTTGTTATAGTTTTACCTATGCTGCCAGCCAAGTACTTGAAATTACGCTTGATTTTCAGTAGATTCGCTTGCTGTCGGATAAATTTTTACACACAATCCTTAATCCTTACGCTAGCCAAGTGTTCAAGAAGCCAATTAAAATGTACTCTTTATATTAGTTTGGGGACTCGTGCTTTCATTTGGTTTATTATATGTTTCTAAGAATTTTTCCCCTCATGAATGTCCAGTCTATCTAAAACATGACTTTGGCACCAGCAAGACACTTTTCGCTAACCTCCATGGAGGTATGAATTAGTACTGAGGATTAATGAGGTACACAAAAACCATGCCAGAAAAATATAAACCTCTAAACTTTACATAAAAAATTGAAAGCCTCCATTTTGGACATCAAACCGCTCAAATATCCAGTACTCGTATTGAAACCCGGGTAGTCCAACTCAAGTTAAGGACCAGAAGGTGAGCAAAGTTTTCCCATTAACTGTTTAATTTTATCTGCATAGACGCAAGTATTGAACGTCGTTAAACACCCAAGGCACAACTTAAAGTGCACATTCCACTACCAGGCCAACTGGGTTACGCACTCGTTAAAAAGGTTGAAAATTTCAGATTTCCCAGTTATAATATGAAGCATTCAGTTGTTTCGGTTAATTATTTTAAAGATGTTAGTCGGCCATAAATGGACGATTGGGTAGATGAGTGGGGTTGGCTCTAACTTTGATTGATGTGATTGTATCAAACTAGGTCAAAGAGATGCTACGCATTTTCATGTTTCAACGATGATTCACTCACCCAAACCAGATGTTAATTTAGTTAAATATTCGTTGTCATAGATGTTTTTGTACCAAATTTAGATCTAAATCCAATAACTATTCCCATTAAATTGTCCTATGAAGAAGGATCCCATCTATGCTCCATGTTTTGGTTTCTGAGAAGCTTCTGGGGCAGTCAGGGATCTGCTGCAGAACAATCTTTTCAAACGCGTGTAAATCGAATTCAAATTCAAATTCTCTCCTATATGAAAACCATACAATCCTTGTTCGTTTATGATCTTGAGGGGCAAAAGGGAACCATATGAATTTTGAGCATGAGAAGACTAATACTTGAAAACAATCCAATATGTAGGTTTCATATATATATATATATATATATATATATATATATATAATCACAACTTTTATGTTAAATTTAATATTTAAAAAGCATTAGAAAAGCTCCAGCTGAGAAATATGATGCAGCTACATGCTCTCTACATATAGCGAAGGGAAGAATCAGATAACATTAACTGTGTCCACAGTTTGCAACAAGAAATAAAACTCTAGAGGCAGAAAACAGAAATAGATACATTAGATCAGATGAATTACATAATGATACAGATCCCATAGAGGAGTGAGTTTTCTGATGCAGATGGTACTAAGATTCTTCGTGAATCAGATACAAGATCCAATCGGGTAAGCATCAAATCGGGTGTCTCCATCCATCAGTATCATCTCATGTTGCTCCTGCATCATATAGTCCTCATGAAACTAAAACAGGATAACAAATCTATCCTCCATCATTACAGATAAAAAGCTGGAACAGAATTACCAAACAGAGAATATGTCTATAAACAAATACACAAACAGAAATCATGAGCACGTGTGAAACTATAGAAGCATGCTTAAAAAATATGATCTGGTAATGCTTCACAGGTTGATAGATTGATAAACAAACTAGTCTAGAATTGCAGCAAGTCACACAATAAATTCACTAGAAAAGGTTTGATAGGATTCAGAAGAACTCAAAGAAGAAAAAGAAAACTAAGCCGGATATCTAATCATACCCGTTTAACCATTGAACCCATTATGTCATCCAAATATCCAATATTTCGAATGAAATCATCTTCGTATGCATCAGTAGATTTGAATCTCATATCTGAGGAGAACCTCTCATCCTCGTTAAGCTGAGAGATTAGTGGGGTAGGCCCATTGAATTGGTCCATGAAAGATGCATCCACCCTTTTGCTGCATGTTGAATTATTTTGATTTAAACTCTGCCCCATGTTACTTGTGATTCCGTTAGAAGAAACCAGGGAATTCACAGCATTGAAATTGCAGTTCATGTTTTGGTTGTAATCCTGCTTCTGCAGCTCCCAGGTCTGCCTTAACGTGTAACGTGAAGACTGAACCACGTTACCAATTAGGCCTTCTTGACATTGTAGTTCACCTCTAACATCCTCCAGTGGAACAGCAGAAGAAAAATCAACTGGGTTGTTATTGATATAAGTATTGGAGGAAGAAACATTTAAGCTGTTAGAAGGTAGCTGATCATTAGTTAAAGTCTCGTTTAAGGGCAAAGAATTGGAGGGAAATTTAGATAAGTGAACCATGCCCTGCCAGCTTTCGTTGCTTCGTGTATAGTCCAACAAATTGGAGCCATAAATGCCTAAAGTTTCTGAGTTCAAAGGAGCAGCTCCAAAAGAAGATTGATTTCTAAATTCTCCCACATTTTGAGATTGCTCTGAGCTTCCTGGTAACGTCAAATGATTGCTTGAGACACAAGGCGCAGAATTGTTTGCACCACCAAGAGTAGGTTTACTGTCTAGGAATCCACTAGCAACTGCAAAACCACCTGAATCATCAATTGAACCAAACGGCCTCATACCAGTAGCACAGTTGCTTGGTTGAGATTGACAACGCTCTGTTGAAGAAATGCTTTGAAATAAACTTGAGTTTGCAGACAAGATAGATGATGGCTGAAGATTTCCAAGTGTGTTTGTGACTATGCTTGAGTTTTGAGACTGACTGGGCTGGATCAGTCCAGAAGAACCAATTCCTCTCAAGTTCAAGGCAGCTGGTGAGTTCAATCTGCTAAAAATTCCAGTAGATGCAAATGTTGATGAGAGCCGTCCAGAACCAGACAATGTGCGAAACTCTCCAAAACCCTCTAATGAACCCATCCGCAAGTATGATGATTCTCCACCCAATGCAGCAGCCATTTTAGCTTGTTGAGTTGCCTTCCTGAGATAGATCCTATATTTCTGCAAGACAATATGACAGTAAGCTTAAGTCTGACAAACACCAGACATTAAATACATTTTACAGCATGTTCTCATTTAACCTAAGAGCAAGCACTATTTAATCGTGATGTTAAATTCTATCCAAATGAAATGACGAACTTTTACCTGTAGATGGCTTGCCACATTTTCCCTTGTAAGCCCTTCAACATTCATCAGGTCAAGAATTTTCTTGGGAACAGCCTCTGCAAGAACAGATAAACGCACCTTAAGCTAGCAAGTAAACTTTTAATTTTAATTTCTAAGTGCCAAGTTACATAAACTCACTTTCAAGTCCCAGTTGATCAACTGCAGCAACAAATTTCCTGTGCAGCTCAACTGACCAAACTACACGTGGCCTCTTCTGTGTTGATGGGTCTTCCTCATTCTCTTGCACATTGTCTTCATCATCTTCTTCATCATCCTCACCCTGGTCCTTCCTCCTCTTACCCAGTTTTTTACTTTGATCGGAATTATTTTCTGAACCGATGCCTGGATTCCCTTCCCCAGAAATATTGTTCGCCTTCTCCACCTGAGAAGCCTTATTCTGGTCTTTGTTATCAAACTTCTTTCTTCGAACCACATGTTGCCATATGTTCTTAAGCTCTTCCATTCTAACAGGTTTCAGTAAATAGTCACATGCACCATGGGTAACGCCCTTCATCACAAGCCTTGTATCACTGTGTGCTGACAACACTGGGTCAACATCAAAGTCAAAACAGTAGGGTTCAAGTCAATCAAACAATTTATGAGAAAAATATATCTAATTCTTTCAGCCACAGTACATAATTAAATAACAATAACATTGCTATTGGTAATAAAGAAAAAAATCAAAGATTTGGAACTTTCTTCAGTTACAAAACACTAACAGAAAGGGTAAGAAGCAAATCTAAGTAACTGTCAAGTGTAAAATTAGATTGAACTTACTGATGACAGGTAGGTCCATTTCAAGACCCACTAGCTCAAGGAGCTTAAATCCGTCCATGTCTGGCATATTTACATCACTAATGACGAGGTCAAACTTGTTCCTGTTTTCCCTTAGCATTTTCAAAGCCTTAATCGCCTGATTAGTTGTAGTAACTGCAACATTAACCAAAAATCACATATGAGATAAAGTCAGTGGCTTCCAAGCCAGACAAGTCAAGAACTCTGAAAGTAGATCTACTAATAAAGGCCTAGTCAGAAAAAGTGGCAATAATTGTGATATTGATATAGCAGCGCAAAAGTATGTAAGGGAAGATGATTGTAATTTAGAGAAAAAAATCATAACTTCAGCAGAACTGCAGAAATCAGAACGGGCCCAACAGATATTACTCAGAAAATATGGGACCCCAACTGGAAACAAAACAGTGCCTGTGCAAAGGGTGACCAAAACTTCGAAGTGAGCGGGTAAGTTATACTTTAACATACAGCGTAACTAGATGGAGAAATACTATGAGGAAAATACAAAACTTGTAATTGAACAGTACTACCGGATAGGTCCAGCACAAGCAATGGAAACTAGAATTTACTGGATTAAAAACAGAAGTTTCAAATACGAACCCCGATACTCGCATTTGACAAGCAGAGTCTCCAACACTTTAAGACAAATTGGGTCGTCATCAACAGCCAGAACACTCATACCCACAGGAAACTTTTTCGCGGCCACATAGTCATCACTCAAATCGCCCCTTTGGTCCTCCGGAGTCATCTTGAGAAAACCAGGTGAAAAACTAAAGACTAAAGCAGAGATCACAATTCCCAGGGAGGTAAGTTTGAATCTTGATTATGCAAGACTCTGCTTTCGCCAACAAAGGCTACAGTTACAACAGAGCATAACAGCAAGAAGTGAACGGAGAAACAGAAACCTAGGAAAGGGTTTTGAAACGAAGAAGAAAGAGAAAGAGAGAGAATGTGGAAAGAAAGCGAAAGGGAGAGCTGCAGAAATGGATACTAATGGCCACGGCCAGAAAAGAGTGAAGGGGTTGAACCCAACAAAACAAAGCTGAAATCTTTTTAGTATTTTAGTGAAAGTCACTCTCTCTCTGCTGCGAAATGGCCTTTCTCTGGTATTTGTCGTTAACTTTTTCTCCCAACACAACAGAAAAAGCCTTCACCTTTAACTATTTGTTAATTGCTCATGAAATTACAATAATGCAAGCTTGCTTATGCTTCCCCTCTTTTTATATATTCTTCTCAGTCTCTCTCTCTTTCTGGGTCTCCCCAAGGCCTTTTGGGCAATTATATGCTACATCTCATGCGCACAACTGCACCATGCACCCTCTCCTTATCTATCTCGGAGAAAGTGTAAAAACTGTTTACAATAATCATCAAATTTTTTGATCAAATACGATAATCATCAGTCAATTAATGACATAATTTAAGGTAATGACATAAATCATGCCTGTGATGAATGTGTTTTGTATGTTACAACGATGTTAATTCTTTTTTTGATTATTGAGGTGCTTTGATGGCCTTTTAAACTTACTTGAATTGTAAGTAACTGTCAAAAGTTCTCCTTCTAGGTGCTATGGTCAACTCTGGGAACAATTCTATTAACTTTCTTCGAAAATCCCATGCAGGATCTTGAGAAATCTGAGAGTGATTTTGTCATTAATTGCATTCCATGTACAAGTTTCCTTTTGCTTGAGCCGGAAAAAAAAATCAATCAAAACTTCCAAATAAAAATATATAATTTCTTCAATTTTTTTTTTCTTTTGAAAGCTCGTGATTTTAGTTTTTAGGCAATTAAGTGTAAACGTTTCTTTCTTAAAATGGAAAGGCAATTTCTTGGCTTTCAATCAATTTCTCAGTAATAATATTAATGTTCTGTTTATCTAATTTAAATTGTGAAGATTTAAATTATACTCTGTTCGGTTAGCCAAAAAAAAAATTATGCCCTGTCCGGTTCTAATTTCTAAATATAAGAGTCAAGAAAATTTGTTTTAGTTGTCTTAATACATTTTGTCTCACAAAGCTATAGCCTTTTTATATACTCTCCCTGTTATCCTATACAAATAATTTTTAAAAAAATTAATACGTATTTTTCTGCAAATAACTATTCTAAATAATTTTTTAAATTTATGTAAATTAGTTATATAATTTTTACATTTGAAATCGGAAGAGTAATTTAATTCTTGTTATATAGAATTATAAGGTTATATTTATTTGGATTTGACCAGAAGAGAAAAAAGAAGGGAAGTCAAATTTGGAAGGTGTTCAAGCAAAACTTCACGAGGATGCCTTTTAATTAGCCTTCAAAAGTCATGAATAATTATGCCAAATTGACCAAAATTGTTGTGGAAATTAACTGGGCAGAGAACAAATTGGGAATTTTCAATTGCCTATTACCTAATACAAGCCGAAAACTTGAAACGTTGTCGGTTGTTTGGATATATATAATAATTAATTTCCAATCTTATGTCATGAATTGATGGAACAACCAAATATGCCACCACTCATTCAGTCCAAAAATAAATAAATAAAAGTAGTAATGTGTGAACTTTTAAATGTGGAATAACATATTCTTAAATTTTAATTAAGGTAAGAATCCTTTAAAATTAAAAGCAAGTTTCCCCTTGTACTAACAATAATAATAATAAAATAACAATAAAACCAGAAGAAGGACGGTGGTGATGTTGAAGTCTGAAAGGTATAATATTTATGGCGGCCTTGCTGAATTGTTCTTGTTCCCTCTTTTGAAACGACAACAACACCAATAATTTTTGTTAGATAGACGACAACAGGACCAATAATTTTGGTTACGACAATATTTTTGATAAAAAAGAAAAATAAAGCGGAAAGTTTGAGGAAGGAAAAAATTATATTTATAGACCATGTGTTAAAATATTTTCATTCAACACCCATCTTTCTTTTTCTTTTTTTTTTTTTCCAGTAGTTAAAATATTGGAATATCATGACCGTACAGTAAATAAATAAGTCTGTATTGTTGTCACCAAATATATAAAAATGCCTTCGGCAAATACACCCACACGAACATGCCACAAATGGTAGGATGGAAAAGGAAGAAACAAGTCAATTTTAAAATATTTATGTTAATTGAGAATCATAATTATTTCTTAAAAAAATCAAATTATTATTACCTCAATTTTTAATATAATATCTATTTTTTAGTTTAAATTAAACTACAAGCTCAATTTTTAACATAATTCCTAACAGATTTATCATGACTATTAGGAAAGATCATTGTAGTCTCACATGAGTAAATAGACCCTAAAGGATGAGTATACTATTATTTCTCGTATCAAAACTTATCATTACATGTTGTTTAATGCTTACTAATTGTGATACTTTTTAATAATTAAATTACTTATGTGGAACTGTATAATAATTTTTTCCCTTAGTACGTGTGACTTATAAATAATATGATTTTTTTATGTACCAAAATGGGCTTTCTATGAATAGAAAGAATATTAAAATAATAGTAAAATAAAGGCAGCAAAAAGCAAAACACAGTAAAATACATGAAAAAATTGCTCACGTTCATGACTTTTGAAGGCCAATCAAACGTGATGAACGTTCTCAGTCTTTATTAACAGAAAGGTCCAAAGCTACAACTTCCCACAGCTAATTGGAAAACATTTACCAAACAAAGCACTTAAATGAGACAACATCGTCATTTCTTATTGTGCGAAACAAAACAAAGTGGTTAGGTATACTTAGGGTGGTTCATTAACACTACTTAGTTTGCTCTAATTAAGACTCTATCCAATCCAATGTGTGCCAATCATTTCCACATTATTTGTCCACATTAATAATAATAATAATAATAATAATTAATTTACTCCTTCAATATTCGATAAGCTTGCCGTCTCAATGAAGTCAAAATCCCTCCTCCTTTTGTTTTTTTTTTTTGGCCAAACTCCTCCTTTTGTTAAGAAAGCATGCTTTTCGTTTTATTACAAAGGGACTGTGATATGAAGTATAGATAATTTCATTGTTTATGTTTTTAGAATTATGTATTTAATTTGATTTAAAGTTATTAGTTGTAATATATCCATGCGTGCTTTTAATTTTGACTTAATTCAATATTTGTCCTTATTCTTAACCTAATTCAACTAACCCAATTCATTTTTGTGGGTCAATTTTCAACCTAACTCTATTTTTTTCCTGGGTGAACTTGTTACACTGTAGTGAATTGTAATGTTTATGGTTAATTGACAGAGACGCGCATTTAAAATATTGACATATATAAATAAATATATATATATATATATCCTCACTTCTCCTGTTTCTTTTTTTTTTTGGGGGATAAATTGCATATATCTACAACTTTTTTGAACAACTTATGTTAAAATATTACACTACTCTTTGGACAGATTTGAAAACAGACTAGAGAAATCAGACTAATAATTTAAGCGTACAACATCTTTAATTAAATTAGTTCGTGATAATAATATCGTTTGTATGAAAACAGACAGAGGTCGAACTCCCACTGGAATAAGCTGCTTAATTAAGTTGGGTTAGAAACTAATTTTTCAAGTAAATAAAATAATACTCCTCTGGTCCTTAATATATGACCTAATTATTGAGTTAATTTTGTCCTAAATATAAAACATATTTCTTATATTTATTATTATTTTAAATTATCTCTATAGATACTTCCTTAGCCATAATCAAGTAGAAAAAAGAAAAAGGATATTAAAAAAGATAATTATGATATTTTAAGAAAAACACGTCATATTTCTTATAATTAATTAACTTATCTAACTTTCTTAATCTATCAAATTAGTTAAATAGGTCTTATATTAAAAATCGAAACAGTAGAAAAATACCTCGCACAAAATGAAAGAAGTATTTGCGGATTGATGAGATCATAAGCAAGAAATGACAAATGCAAACTTTCCGGTTAGTGCGAGATCAACTTATAACGTCAAGAACTAGTATAAGCCAATGTAGTTTGAACAAAAAAACTATTCTTCCGATCCTTAATATATGACCCATTTATTGAGTTAGTTTTGGTCATAAATATAAGACTCATTTCTCATATTTATCAATTTTCTCTAAATTACCCCTATGGATACTCTTTCAGCTATAATCAAGTAGAAAAGGAAGATGGGGCATTAAGAAAGATGATTATGGTATTTTAGAAAAAACATGTCATATTTTTTATAATTAATTAACTTACCTAACTTTCTTAATCTAATCAAATTAGTTAAATAAGTCTTATATTGAAGACTGGAAGAGTACTAATTAACATGAAATGACGTTTGGGCTATATTTAGATGAAGGAAAAAGTGGAAGAAAAAACTTCCAAAAATAATTTAAAAAATTATTATTTTAATTTTTTTCCTTTTTTCTTAGGTTAACCCTATCTTCAATTTTTGAAATTCAACTCTATTTTAGTTTTAGTCTTTAAAATTTGCAACCAATGGTTTTGATTTCTAAAATTGGATTTCATTTTGGTTTTGGCCTCCTTGAAATTTAATCTTATTTTGGTATTGGTCGTTATTTCAAGGACCAAAAAGCTTAAGCCATACCAAGATAGAATTAATTTCAGAAATGAAAATCATAAGACTAAAATTTTAAGAATCAAAATCCAAATGAGATTAAATTTTAGAAATTAAAACTAAAATAAAATCAAATTTTAAAAAATAGTATTAGTCCTTTTTTTTTCATTCTAATTTTACTCCAACCCAAACAAAAAGTTTGATGTTGATAATATCTGTAATTTTTAATGTGTTTCCCTAGACGTGCAAGACAAGGCAATTGGCCTAACTCAAAGGAAGAAGTAGTACGTACTATGTTACTTGTGTTATTGTGTCGCGTAATTAGTTTCAGAATGCAATAATTATCTTTTAAAAAAAAGAAAAAAAAATATGTGAGACCAAAATATGTTTTGTTTTTGTGTGGAGTATTTTGATTGACGCAAGTCAAAGGTGATGAGAATGGAGGACGTACAAGGATGATTGTTGTCACATCTGAGCATGCCGTCTTGGGCTCCCCTGATTCTGATCCTCCCATGCTCTGACTCCGACATGTTTCATGTCCTGATTGGCCGAAGTGGGGGAACGTGGGTCCCGCCATATGAGTCTGCTGGGGCACGAAATCGCAACGAAACGGTTCATTGAAGGGAGCCCACACCTTTTGTCGTCTGATGCGACGGCGTCGTACTCTCATACTGTGATTAGATTTGTCATTTACTGACTGCGTCCTTCCATGGCTTTTCTTTCACCTCAAGCCTCCATCCCACGGCTGCTTTTCTGCGTTTCTCGGACCCTCTAATTTTAATATAAAATTAGTTCAATATTATATTTAGTTTTAAATATAAAATTTATTTTATTTTATTTTTATATTTATAATTCATTTTTTAAAGTATTTCTATTGAAAAAGTTTTATCATCAAAAGGTAGTTATAACTAAAATGATATTTTAGTGAATTTAATTTTACAAGTAATTAGTTTAATAGGCTTTCTTTAACTCAAATTATTTTCCCCCCAACAATTTACTCAGAGTAGTTAAGTTGTTCTCCTATTAAGGAAGTGGGGTAGTATTTTATTTTGTCACGTAAATACATATAAATTGTGTCATGATATGATTAACAAAAGGACGTACATTCATCAACTTTAAGTTTTGATTAAATTTTACCTGGTTAAATATTATTTATATATCAGTAATTTAGATATGAACATGATTATTTGATTTTTTTAATATGCACTATTTTTTCTTATACACTTAAAAAATGATGACCAATAGGAATTGATCAAATCACAGAAGGTGTGACTTAATAATGTCCAAAATTTTCCATTTAATTATGATGTTGTTCAAATGGCGAACGAGAAATAACTATAATGAAGTAGGCATTTTGAATTAATATCATTTTGAATTTCTAAAATTTAATCTCATTTTTATTTTAATTATTTAAAATTGAAATTTGTTTTAGGGGCCAAAAATTTCTATGCAGATCAAAATTAGTCCAATTTTAGAAATAAAAACGAAATTAAATTTCATGATTAAAAATAATATTAAGTCATGTATTTTTTTTCCTTGTAAAAGTGTAAAACTATTTGATTGAGTCATATTCAAGTATTGTGATATTTAAATTTTTTGTTTACCAGCGTGATATTTAAATTGGAGTTAGCTCTCTCAAACATATTTATTATATTTATCCAAATTTACTTTTACACTGGCAAAAATCTACATTGGCATCCTTGAAAATGGATCTACGTGATTAACAACATGTTGTGTGTGATTATAAGGAGTTATTTTTGCAGAACTATCCCAGTTCTTAATATAAAAATTAGTTCACTAGTTTAAATATATTTAAAAAATTAGTTAAATTAATTATTTATAATAATTAAATATTATCTTTCTTAAAATATTTTTACTGAATATATATTAACTAAAACTACTATTTGACTGAACATTTAACATGTGTAACTAGTATAAGAATTATTTTTTTAAAAAATAAATATAAGAGATAAAATGAATTAAATTTTATATTTAAAATTAAATTAAAAATAAAAATAAATTAGAAATTAAACTAATTTTTATATTAAGAATTTAATTAGTATAAGGGGATTGTTTGATTCATCGATTCTTTTTTTTTTTTTTTACCAGCGATTCATCGATCGATAACGAAAAAAACAAAAGGGAGGGGGTGGTTCAGCATGGGAGTGGGAGTGACAGTCCGGAAAACGTGGCTGCCAAAATAAGGGAAGCTAAAGCTGCCTCACAAACTCGGAGGAACCCCACTACTTTCCGCGTTTCTCTTTCCCATTGGCAACTCAATGGGACCCGCCATTCATCCAACACGAAATCTCAACAGAAACCATCCCTTCTGGGCCCCACCCCCTCTGATTCTCCTGCCACGACGTCGTACTCCTCCGTCCAATCCTCATCCTCATATGAGATATCTCCAAGTCTTTAACCCCGAGTTGGCATAGTACGACGTCGTCCCCTAGCCCCATCACTGCTTCAGAAATAATTGTACGAGTACTAGCTCTTCTTTTGAATATAAAATTTAATTTGTAGTATAAATTGCACGGAGGTGGTATTTACCATGAAGTTCTTGCCGTCTTGAAAGGCTTTCGATTACAACAAAAGAGCATAAAAGGGTCGTTTGTTTTTGTCATAAAAACAGAAAAAAGATCACTTGTTTTCCTGTTTGTGGGCTTGGTACATCGCTCGACTCCAAGAAAAGGATTTTAAAGGCCCATGTACAAATAGCTTCGATCTTCAATATAAAACTCAATTAACTAATTTTAAAAAGTTAAAAAAGTTAGTTATTTATAGTGAATAGATATTGTCTTTTTTAAAATACCTTTATTAATATATTAATAATACTAATTCCTTAACATATGCAACTATTATAAGAATTACTTTGGGACAAAATAGATAAATATTGGTGACAAAGTAGATTGGAGTCTTATATTTAGAATCAAATCAGCTCTTATATTAAAAATCGAAGGTAATATTTTGTAGCAGCTTCGCAAAAAACTCCATTATTTATAACTCATACTCACCTCAAACTCTGTGCAATGTTAAAAAACCATTTAGTTGATTAAATAATTTAAAGAAACATATTTCATACCATCTAGGTAATGATAATAGTTAAAAAAAGAACTTGTTATGGGCTGAAAGTGTGCCTTTTTTTTTTTATGTATAGGTATTTCTTATTGGAGACAATCATATTTGAAACATTGTCGTACGCTAAATGTAAATTTTTTTTGAGTGAGAATTTAAACACTGATTTATGAAGAGTGGTTATTTGTAACCTCATAGTTATTGTGTGACTATGCTTTAAAGTAGGTAATTGCATATGCTTAAGCCCCACAGGGCACGGGATGGGAGTAGAATAAAATAAGGCGCGTGTGTATAAAGAACTGGATTAAACTTAGGTATAGTGATGACATATTATCCATCATGAGTTATAAAACCAATTGAATGATTGAGAGCTCATATTCAATCATGTCAATCTGGATATTTAATGATTTCTTAGCGTATGATGTCATTATTCTTTGTTTTTTTTAAGGTTACCTTACAATGATCTCGTTTGAACTTCGTTTTTTTTTTTTGGGAGTGATGAAGTGATAACAAGAGCAAGAATCAGATTGATAATACTACCTCATTGTACAACTCACAATAGGTTTATTTCCCCCTTCCTCAAATCACCATTTTGGTGAAGGTTCATAATATTCTCGTTGTTATTCATAAAAAAAGAGAAATACTTTGTGGTATTGGTTAGCATGCTATGACACTGCTAATTCCTTTGGATACAACTTACGTATATCTTTTCTCTCTCTCTCTCTCTCTCAACAATATTTTTTTAAATTATTCTAATTCTTAATATAAAAACTAGTTTGACATTTAATTTGATATTAAATATAAGACTCTAATCTACTTTGTCTTTCATATTTTTTTATTTTTTTAAAAGTAGTTCTTGCATTAGTTGCATATGTTAAAGATTTCATCAAACAATAATTCTAGCTAATACATGTTATTATTATAAATAACTAACTCAACAAATT